TAAGGCTAGGGACAAGAAAATGTATTGGTTAGTAAGGTAAGAAAGGAATACAAGCGAGGGCTTACTGACCTAGGGACAAGAGGTCAAAACTGAGGTCCCTAGGGCAGCAGAGGCCGGTTTATATACATGGGGAGATTAGGGCAGGCTGTGCGCGTTGGTCCGTGCGCAGCTGGTCCATGCACAGCATGCCAACGCGGCCCCAGGGGCCAGTGAGTCAGAGCGGCTGTGTCAGCGGAGCCCAAGCTGTGCCGTGCACTGCCGTCCCATCTAATCTAATCATACAGTAGATATGATGCGTCCGTATCAGGCAAGTAGTACAGAGGTCGCGGGTTCGAGCCCGCGAAAAGGAAAAATTAAAAAACGGCTAGACGCCGTACCAACTCGTGACACTCAGTTTCGACCTCTTGTCCCTAGGTCAGTAAGCCCCCCTTTGTCTTTGTATTGCTTTCTTACTTAACTAACTAATATACTATCTTGTCCCTAGCCTTAGGTTTGAGCCTAGCTCACCATCGCTTCGGTAAGATAAGTCGAACACCTCCAGCTTTTGGTTTTCCCCTGTCACTCAACCCTAAGTCACGACACTAAGTCGCGACAGTACCTTGTCAAGTGGAAGGGTTATGACGACTCGCATACATCATGGGAACCGGCACGCAATGTTGCCAATGTGCCAGCCCTCATAGCCAACTTCCACCGGAAGAACCTGAATGCCCCTCGCCGCCTCAACACTGCTGTCTTTGGTGGTCTCAACTTTTAGCCAATGCCTTTGCCGCTGACTGAAGCACGATGCCGCTCCGGGTGGGAGATGGGCAAGGGCGCCTCGCATGAGGTCATGTGCCATTGAGGGGGGGGGGGTAATGTCATGAGTTGGCACGGCGCCTAGCCATTTTTTAATTTTTTCCTTTTCACAGGCTCGAACCCGCGACCTCTGTACTACATACCAGATATGGACACATCATATCTACTGTATGATTAGATTAGATAGGACGGCAGTGCACGGCACAGCTCGGGCTCCGCTTACACAGCCTCTCTGACTCACCGGCCCCTGGGGCTGCGTCAGCATGCTGTGCACAGACCAGCTGCACACGGACCAGTGCGCACAGCCTGCCCTTATCTCCCTCTGTATATAAGCTGGCCTCTGCTGCCCTAGGGACCTCAGTTTCGACCTCTTGTCCCTAGGTCAGTAAGCCCTCATTTGTATCCTTTCTTACTTAACTAACTAATACATTTCTTGTCCCTAGCCTTAGGTTTGAGCGTAAGCTCACCATCGCTTCGGTGAGACCCAGTCGAACACCCCCAGTGTTTAGGTTTGTTCCTGTCGCTTGACCTCAAGTCGCGACATGTCTGGCCTATCATATACGATCTACTCACATGGCTGCTGTGTCATCAGACAATGAGGATATCATAGGGGGCTTGTAGTGCGTAGATGCCATGGTGGGTTTTTCTTGATGCTTACTATATGTCTCTACAAGTAGAGGGATAGGATACTGCCGAGTTTGTGCTTGATTGTGGTAGTAAGAGGGAGAAGAATGTAGAGTGCGCCGCACAGCCAGAGGATGCAGTCACATGATCAAATTTAGTTTGTGTATGGAGACAAGGTGTCCAGCATATATGACGAATTGTTGTGTCCAGTGGAACTTATGACGTGCATGAAGCATCCGCGTCATGCAACACCGGAGTGTGATCAGACAAAATAGCCGCCATTTTCACTGGGAATGACATTTGATGTGACGGGCCTAGATAGGGGATGTATCGCTCAGATCTGCACCGCTCTACTCAGTTGGACGAGACAAGCCCCGTTCTGCCTCATTCCGCTCAGATGCCCTTTTGACTGGGGATCATGACGTGCATGCATGGACGACTTGAGCTTGAGAACACATTGAATATGCTGCCTGTGATGTTACAGATATGGGCTTGAGCGCTGGCTGTTTTATGTGGTTGCATGGGACGTCGAGAGGTTTGAAAGCTGTCAAGGTTACTAATCGACAAGGATTGATGCTACGACAGGCGCGGATGAGTGCCTTCGTCTTCGGAACAGGTTTATCACCTTTTTGTCCTTTGTGTATATCACTGTTATCTAGAGGCAAAAGGTATAAAGCTATATCTCGAATGACGCAATACATTTGCCACTTTCTCTGCTTCGCCATGTCGAGCGCTCCCGCTCAAAAGTGCGAAATCTTGAGCCGAGATCTCCTCAGCTATGGGCAGTTATTATCAACTGACATCTATGCTCCCAAGCTTGACAGAACAATCATTGAGAACACACCGATGCACAAGAGCGCGATCGTATAACAACTTTCTCCAAAATCAGCTTCTGGTAGTACATGACTAGCCTGGTTCTATAACACGAATGCTGCAAAGTATCATGTGTGTGAATATTATAAAACTGGATATTTGCGAACACGTAGGCACGTACTCCATAAATGGTGTGCGTGACGGTTTTAGTTGGAATCTGCTTCATGATTCATGAGTTCTGTGCACAAACAATCCATCGACATTCCAACAGGTTGAAAAACTCAATATACTCCATTAAAACTGACAGCGGTTGTTACTTACAGCATTGTTGCTACCCACGGTGTTGTTGTTATTGCCGCCACTGTTACCCGTCGACGCATACGCTCCACCCGTAGCAGCATCTCCGCCGATGCTTCTGGCGTTACAGAATGAAATGTTCCCGCCAGAGTCATTGTTTCTATGCATTGTGCGCGATCGAGAAGAGAGATATTGTGCGTGTATGTAGATGGCGACGAATGCTGCTGCTACCTGCCGTACAGGACAGGTATTTATACCCATCCTCTTCTGGAGAGAAGGCGCTGGCCTGCTCATCTATAACTGTGCACATGTCATCGAGGTGAAGGTGTGCGCAATCAAGAATGAATGGAGTCAAAAATGTGTCAGGAAAAACCAAAGCCTAGCACCTACCAGAGAGGCTGCATTGCCGAAACAAGCACAGAGTCGGTGGTATGCTTTGTCCGATGCCTCATGGAGAGATGCGCTGACAGTCAAATTGCCCGACTCATCCTTATTGAGAGCTCGGAGGTAGGATGTTCCACTGTTAGACGCACCGTTGGTGTCATAACCTTGTCAGTAGTTCGCTTCGGGTCAGCCCTATTTTCCAGTCAACCTCCAGTAATGTCTCTCCCATTTCCTTGTGAACACGCGCTCTGCATCATATGATGCGTTCATTGTCTCGTCCGCTAATTATGTAGACTTTGGACTCCTTATGTTGATGCGAATCTACGCCGTTGTATTTATGTTACAGCGCTTTCCGAACACCTTGGATCGCGCCAGTTTTCTTCTGGAGACGCGAAACTTAGCGCTCTGCATATGGCAAATAGCTTAGTATGACGTGCATGAAGCCTTGCCTTGCTCTCGCCGCAGTCGCATGCCAGGCGTCTTCGAGAAGCGTACCATGCTTTGGAGAGCTCTAGTCAAAGGACAGATGGGCCGCGACGCGCAGTAGGTTTGAGTAGAGTGATGGGACCATGACCGCACTGGACTCAATCTGGGCCTAATCGGGACACAGGCGCGTGATATAAGCGCTAAGTTTCGCGTTTCAGAAAAAGAATTGGCGCAACCTGAGGCTCTCGGAAAGCGCTTCAAGAAGGAAGAGAATTCTCAATGAACAGAACAATTCAAGTAGCCCGATCGGCGATTTCCACAGCGCCGACCTATTCACGGGCTATTTTTACTTCCTGCATATTCCACCATGCCATCATCTGCTGCAACAGTATAGCGAACCGCCTATGGAGCAGCTTGAATGCATCATTGCTACTACGAAGTGGAGTCCCTTGGTTTTTTTAATCAGTGTCAGACAATTACGAATGCTAGACATGTATAAAAGACAGCCCTGATGCCTGCTGGTGCTTGAAACAAGGACAATGTCTCTTTCAAAGATCCCCGCCCTTGCGATCACAGCAGTAGGCATCCATACAATTTTCACGCCGCCTCAGCCCAAGGCAAGGGAGAGTGACTCTCCAAAGGAGCTGGGCGCGTTCGAGCAGGTATTTTCTCAAGTTGTCCGGCTGTACAGCGGAACATCCAAGGTAGGTTTGTTCTGTTAGTATTCTGCATGCAGAAGCATTGATATACAGCACGGTTGAACAGGTCTTGCTGTGCTCTGGAAGCATCATAGAAGCCGTCGCGATACTTGCGAGTCAATATCCTACCCATTCTGTCTCACAGGCTGTTCTTGGACTCCTCGTACCTGGTTCAGCCTCGATTGCGAGCGGGATAGGCTTCTCTACGCTGTTCGTGATCGGCTGCAGCACGGTAGCGTTGGGCAGCTATATCCGTTACCGCTGCTACCGCACACTCGACCGCTTCTTCACATACGAGGTCAACATCACGAAGAACCAGCAGCTCATCACCCACGGGCCATATGCCTATGTCCGTCACCCCTCGTACTCCAGCGGCTTTGTCGTCCTCATCGGCGCGGGTTTGTGTCATGGCAGCGCCGGGTCCTGGCTCAGGGAGTGCCAGATCGTCGATTCGATATGGGGAAAGGCCGCTGTTGCTGCATACGCAGCTGTAGCGATGGTATGGATGATGGTCCTTTTTTATCGACCCCGAGAGGAAGATCGACTACTGAGAGAGAGGTTCGGAGGTCAGTGGGATGCGTGGGCGCGGAGAGTACCATACAGGTTGGTCCCATACCTGTACTGATACGATTCGGTTGTGTACTAGTATACTCTGTACGCCCATACTGTGGCACAATGAAGGAAGCGTGCTGGGCTCATGTCTAGCAATAATTGTCTGAATGAGGTATGAAATCCGGAGTTCGTAGTGCTATAGGGCTCAGTGGTCAGCAGAGCTGTTGGTAGATAGGAGAAGATGGAGGATGTCCGAATTGCTCATGCAACGTGCCAAGCTCAGCATTTCAGGCTGCCCGCCCCGAGTCAAATAAGACATTCAGTGGGTAATAACTACCCTGGTAAGATTATGCCATCGTGGTGATTTCTGCTGACGGGACTTCAAGGAGAGCGTCATGACAGATAACGATTTCCAGGGCAGCACACAATACTCAACAGACCGAAAACTGACTTGTTAGAACACCTCATTCAAAATAGGAAGGATAACTCAAGACCCGTGGAAAAGCTCTACCCTAGCTCCGTTACTCGCATGTACGGTCTATAGCTGCTTGCGGCGGTGCTTGCGACACCTGCGCTTGTGATCACTATGAACAATATCAGTATGCCCAAGGCGGCGAACGCACGCTCGTTCACACCTGAGTAGCTTTCCAAAATCCCGAACAACACTTACGTGGGAGCCACACCACAAGACCGGCGAGCAGAGGCCTATCTAAGGAGGGTAATCTCGCAGCGAGGGTATACGAGCAAGCAGACACAAACTTTAGGGTCTAAATTCCTCTCTAAATGTGCAAAGATGGTTATGGATGCCATTTCGAGGTCCCGTACTGTTTGTAGGGGCACTTTAGAGGATGACCAGCATCTGACTAGTCACAATCAATGTTTTAGCCGTCATCGCTCCCGGTAGCATTGAGACGCCCATGGGCCACCAGCGCCCACAGCTGGCGTCACGACGCGTCCTATTGGTTGATCAATCATCGATCACTGTGCGATAGCGACTTCAAAGTTCAAACATTCATGTTCGATACCCAGGCCATTCCTGTCATACTGAATGAAGACGGATCTTCAGACTTTCAATGTTCTCGTTTCTATGTACTGGGCCTACATAGAGACCCTAGACTTACCCTGACGTCAACACATACCGTGATATAGGACACACTCCGCGCTGATGTTACGTCCGCTTTCAGGTGCGAACTGGATCAATAATGTCTAGTACGCATTCACGGGCCCCGACTATCCCCTGGCGATAGCACTGGCTGAGCATTTCCTCACCTTGCGTGCGGTCGCACGTAATCTCGCCTTCCCAGTGTTCTTCATGCATTCCCGTCCGTGAAGGAGCATTGGCGAACAACTTAGAAAGGACTACTCGTCTTATGCGTAGAGCTCGGAGATGTCATCAGAGTCAAGTTGGCTCTGTGGGATTGATGGCACCGACCCATGCTAAATGGCATCATAGGAATACTTTGCGTGCTATAACGTAAGCGAGCTCTCGTCGTCTTGTGTATCAATTGACAAGGTTTCGATATATATCCACGGAGTTCAGAAAACATACGGTATCAGCCTGTACGGAACATTCTGTGCCCACTTGTTCCAATCTTCTCCAAACTGTTCCTTCATCAGCCTGTCTTCTAAGGAAATACGAGCCACGGCTGATACAGCACCCCACACAGTGTACCCCACATACAGCCACGCAGTAATCTTTCCAGCGAACGTATCAAACACTCCACACTCTTTCAACCACGAGGCAGGACTAGCCAAGCAGACACCCATCCCGACGCAAGATGCAATGACGCTTGTGTAGCCCGGGTGGCGCACGTATGCGTACGGTCCGGTCGTAACGAGCTGATGGTTCTGCTGGATCGTGACCTCATACGTGAAGAGGCGTCCAAGTTCGCGATAGCATTTGTAACGGATGGAAACCGCCGAGTGTCGCAATGCTACAGCCGACCAGGAATATCGGCGAGAATCCAATCCTGCCAGTGTTGTCGAGCGGATGGGGCACCAAGGCATCCAGGATCTTTTGCGAGAGCGGGTGAATGGGAAATCGACTTGCTAGAATAACACATATTTCAAGTGACCCCCCAACACCGGCCAGGATCTATAGGCTTCTATCAGTCTTTCTCGGCGTACCATGCAGAATATAGGTAAACCTTGAGGCTCCCAGCAAAGGATCGTGCTAACGATGAGAAGACGCGCTCGTACGACGTGACAGTCTTGGGACGTGCGGTGGGTGGCACTTTGGGTTGTGGTGGGGTTTGGGCAACGTAGACCCCTACCGCGCTTGCAGCCAAGAAGGGGACCTTGGTAAGGGACATCGTGCAGCGTGGTCTTGCAATATTGCGGACAACCATGGTCAATTCTCGTTGCATTTATATGACTTCAACGTGGAGTCTTCGGGCATCATTCCTCACGGCACCATATGGCCGATTGCTTATGAATTTCAAAGGACAGGCCGCAGACGCCAAGATGAATATGACTAGTCTCGTACCTTGACCTTCCACACGTGTACCTGATCACAGTGAGGAAGAGGTCCAATGCATTTCGACTCAATGCACGCGTTTGCGCGGCGGTTGATACCGAAGCACGGTACCTACTGGAATTGGCAGTTTTATACCCCCCTTTTGAATGCTGGTCGTATCGTGGCCTTTACCGCTCTCACTCGGAGCAGGGACCAGCGCCGCTGTCAACATGGTCAATAACTTCGCAAATCAGATGACATAGATAGCTTATCAGCACTACAACCATCACATAGAAATGACGAGACATCATGTTAGATGTGAATGAATTGAACCTTGATTACATCGGTAGATTTGACTCCCTTCCAGGCCGAATTGCTGGCTTACACACGATTACAGTTCGTCAGGAAGCAACTCCCAATCCACCGCGCCTTGTCTAAGTACTTACTCGGGCTGTCGACTCACTGCTAGCAAGTTCATGGTCATCGTACTGAAGTTGCGCTATAGCCCATTGCCTCGCCTATGTTTCTTCACTGGTCCATGTTATTTGCGTGATGTAACAGGCGAGATGAGGAGCGAAGGCCGTTACGACAAGAGATGACCGAGGGTTCGCACATAACAGGCGAAGGCTCGAATACTGGCATTGGCTCGACGAAGAGGTACAGGTGTGGCGTCAGAAACCTTTCGAAGTACCTACGGCTAAGTCCGAGACAGTGCGGCTAAGTCCGAGACAGTGCGGCTAAGTCCGAAACGTGAGTCAGAGCTCGTACCACGTTTGAGGAGTGTCCGTTCAGTCTCCTGAGAGCAGAGTAGACAATTTTATCAATCTACGCTGGCTCCGGATACCCATGTCTGATAGCAAATACAAGGGCCGTGGCACATTGTAGCGTGCCGTTACACGTGGACCCCCGCCAAGGAGTCCAGGACACTCCTTGTCGGTTCAGGTGCGCAGGGGATGATGATGACTCCCAATGCCCCAGCCTCATGCGGTCGTTACCAACTTACAAGCGCGTTCTGCAAGTTCTTGATCCGTCTGAATCGTCCCGAAGCGCTGATTTGACTCCGCTTTGGCATGTTAGCTTCCGTGGTTCGCCCTGACGCTCATCGGACAACATCACATTCTTGGATTGTTGTGTACCCAGTATGCCGGCTGTCAATCCACGTGTGTGATGGCACACGGGAAGGAAAACTGTTTGAACGTCCCAGATGACTACTGATTGGCGTCCAGGCCAGGGTCTCGTGAGCCGGAGACGCTAATAGACGAATAGTCTCACAGTTACGTCGTTGTGGTTTGGGCGTTTGAGTCGCGTCTATCATAATTACGACTACTGCGGCGTATAGGCGGTCACATTGACTCCATCGTTATCACACTCGAGGTTAACTTCGATGCAGGTTCCACGACATCGATATTGTTGCTCAGTGAAGTCGAAGGTAGGGCGCAGATGGCGTATAATCGACTTCGCCGGAGATAACCAGTAACTTTCCAGCTGCTTGCTTTTTCAGATGTGCTATTATGAAGTCTGAGGGCCACAAACACCACCAATTCCTCCGAAAGCGACGACGTACACGGAGGTTGCGAAAGGCAAGGAATGAAAAAGGTAAGGACTACGTTGCATGGCACAACGTAGTATCTGACAGTGACTTCGTGGTACAGAAAGTGCGGACGTCGCAGACGCAAACGAGGCCCACCAGGATGGACCGCCACCAAATACTATTCCCGCCTTGCCAATCGAGCTTTGCGAGCGAATCATCGACTTCCTTTGGAGAAACACAGCCACTTTGAAAGCTTGCTCTCTCGTCTGCAAGAATTGGCACCTAAGGAGTCGTTACCATCTCGTCGTGTACACCGACCTCGACGGCCAGAAACAGGTGGCCCGCTTCGCGAAGTGGGTGCGCTCAAACCCTGTCTCCGCATGCATAGTCAGGCGTGTACGGCTCAGAGGTGACCCGGGGCATACTCACACGCGAGTATTGATGCAGCACATCGGACCGTTTGCCCCAATGCTCGCTGGCAAGCTGACGCGCCTGGACGACTTCTGGATCATGGCAGCGGTTTGGATGCCCGGGCTTATGCATTACAACACATTTCTCTTTTTCTCCGCATTCACCTCTGTGACACGACTCGGACTCATTGAGGTGACCTTCCCTACGGTCCTCACTTTTGGGCGCCTCGTCTGCTCGCTGCCGAATCTTGTCCACCTGCGATGCCGCTCTCTCAAATTCATGACGCCAACTTTTGATGCGGAGAAGTTTCACGTCCCGCACACGAAGCTCACGGTCCTCACCACCGACGGTGGAGGATTGACTGCCATCATTGACTTCCTTACTACCACACGTGTCGCCTCCACCCTCCGCAACATCTCGTTGGGTTCAGATGAGACTGTCTGCGCTAGTGAGGCGGAGGCTATAGCAATTGTTCGATTGCTAGAATGTGCCGGCGTTGTGCTACAAACAGTAGCTTTGCGTCTCGAACCCGACCTCGACACCGTACCGGGATCCTCTACGTCACCTCTTTGGCTGCTAAAAGGGGTCGCAAACATCAATCCACTTCACACCCTCCAACGCGCACTCCTCCAAAACGTCTCACTCAAAGAGATCCTCCTATCCGCACCTCTAGGAAGCCAGAAACCAAATTGTGCCTGGTTACTTTCAATTATATCTGGAATCAGATCCGTGGATGTCGACAGCATTTCTATCTGGTTAGATTTTCAGCCCGCCCACGATGCCGAAGACATTCAGGGTCCTTTGGAATACTTCTTTGATCCTATCACATGTGCTTCCCTTGATGAGCATTTGACCGCGGAGAAGTTCAAAGGGCTTCATGACATGAATTTTCAACTTCGCCTTCGCCCAGGTCAGAGGACCCTGCCTGCTGATCACCTTCATCAAATTCTCTTGCAGCGCTTTCCGATGGTAAATTTGAAACGGGGCATTTTGCGGTAAGCTTTACGTCGATCTTTTGATCCAACAATGCTGATCACGATTGTCAGTTCTTCTGTCAGGGTATTCGGTCGATCTGATGGTGCAATATTCTAGCTTCCAACTGCTGGCTCTGTTTTGTTCCGTGGGATGCCAGCTTCACCTTGCGACATTGGATGGGACGGGAAGACTGGACGACATGATCGCGGAGGAGTCTGGCTCTTTTCATCATTTATTATCCTCATTTCAGGCCATACACCGTCTTCTTTTGCTGCTTGTTCTTATATTATGACAATGTCAACGAATGCTCATTAGTAGATTTCTTTTTTTCTCGGCTGCATTGCGTACTTGGTAAGCTTCTTGTTTACTAGACTCTAGCATATAACTAACGATTCTTATTGTACTTATTGCACGTTGACCAGACAGGATACGTATAATTAGTAAAGAGAGGGTTTTCCTGATGGGCCCCGGCCGGGAAGGTGTCTCGCAAAGTCATTTTCTAGCACAGGGCTTCGCCCGTGGTAACTTCACTAATAATTCAACAGTGTAATGTATACAAATGTCATTATGCGGACCATATGCGTGTCTGACTCTATGTGTGTTCTTTCTCCAAGCTCAGACTCCATTCTATCACCTTCGGATGTGCTTTGACCTGCAACATACAAACTATTAGAATGTGCGCACTTGACAAGCGGAGATGGCATACCTTTTTGGCATCAAAACCAAGCACTTGCAAGCCATCTAAAGAAGCGGCTCGGGAGAGTGCAACATAACTCTGGCCTATGCGAATAACGGGTTGAGAGCCGCCCGGGCACAGATTGACGAGACGACGCACCCTTCTCGAAGACTCGGCCGAGGTCGATCTTCACTCGCTGGATGGTCTGTCCTTGGCTTTTGTGTATGGACATTGCCCACGCCAGTACGAGAGGCACCTTACAAGTTCCTTCAGCATGCATTCCGGCAGAAAACGAGACCACCTTACTTGTACTCGCCGCGCAAGCAACTTGCCTTCGTTGTCCTCCACCCTGAACTCTTCCCGTCCGAGTAGCACAATCTCTGTCCCGTGAGCAGTGCGGAACTCAACAAGCGGGAACAGCTCCTCTTCCTTGGTGGCACCCTTCCTCTTCTCATCCGCACGCTTTGGAATTTGTTGCGGTGGGCCCTGCACACCCGCATTCTCCTTACCGCTGAGCTTACGGTTGACCGCTACCGGCGTGCGCCCGTCCGTATCCACCTGCACGTTCCTCACGAACCCGCCATTCTTCGCGCTCGAGCCCGGTGACGAGGGCAACTCCTGCGAAGCAGACTTCGGCTTACCACCCACACTCGAGCTCAGGCTCCCAGTGCCGCTGGCACCCTCCGCAGGCGGCGTGACGGACGCAGCGCAGACGGCGACGCTAAAGAAGCCGAGCACGCGCCCAACGCAGCCGTTGACAAGACGCTCGTCGACATTCTTGACGAGCATGACCTGCGCGTCTGGCTTGAGAATGAGACTTGTGGGTGCGACCATCTGCTCAAGCATGCGGGGACTGCTCCCTGAGTCGCGCGCGGCAAACTGCACGCTAGGCCCTGGGAGGCGTGAGAGGCGCGTGTTGTTCGCGCTCTCTACCTGCGCGCGCAGCGGGTAGAGCTCGGTAGGGAGGATGCCAGCGGGCGTCGGTGGGAGTGAGCGAGACAGAGAGGAGAAGGTGCGATGTGCGGAGGGGGAGATGTTTCCACGGCGGAGCTCGTTCAGAAGGGACACGAAGTCTGAGAGACATTAGTACTGCAATTTCAAAGCTGATAGGGAGACATACTAGAGTCTGTTTGACGATAAACTTGCGTCAGAACGACGGTGTGCTCGATACACCGTTTCCATCCTTCGCATTCGAATGCAAAGAACGGCTCCGTGCCAGACTTGGTCACAGGTGGCAGCTGGAAGAAATCACCCGTGACGACAAGCTGAATGGCTTCATATGAGACACTTCACAAGATGACAAAGAATAATCCTGACCTGAATGCCACCAAAGGGATTGTCTGTCTTCTTCCGTAACCTGTCCGCAAGCATTGCCAGCAACTCGAAGAGCTGCCCATCCACCATCGATACTGACAGTCCTGTTAGCATGCACACAACACAAAGGTAATAAACACTTCGTGGCGCACCTTCATCGATGACGAGAACCTTCGTCGTTTTCCAGCGCTGGAAGGCGGGTCTACATGTCTTGATGCAACTGATCTGCCTTTCAATGTTGGTCATCCCGGGCGTGACAGCACCCCATGAGTGAATTGTCATTCCTAGGCGTGTGTTACTTCTCCGAAGATAGAGGGGAACGAAGGGACTCTGCCGCACCTCCAATGTTGGACGCGGCCATACCTGTGCTCGCAGTAACGGAGATAGCATCCGGCTTCTTCGCGTGCTTCCTGCGCAGAGCGGAGATTATCGCCCGTAGTAGTAACGACTTCCCGGTTCCTGCGATATACGTTCGTCAGCAATGTCGCGCCACCAACAGCCGCCGCGTCTCGCTCGCCACGACGCATATATACAATTGAAGCTCACCAGCAGCCCCGGTGAAGAATACACTCTTCCCCTCATCCACTACCATTCTCAATACCTCCTTCTGCTCATCATTGAGCGTTACCGTATCTTTGGCGCCCTTGTCGTTTGTGAGCGACTTTGTCGCCACCGGGGAGAAGAACGCGTCCAGAGTGTTGCGGGGACGTTTCGATTCGTGACCTGCATCCTTGTCTATACTGCCTGTCGATTTACGCTTCTTGGTGTTGGTTGAGATGCTAGTGAGCGCGGTTGTACGCGCCATCTCGCTGATGACTTCGTGTCGCCTGCGGGAAGACCTCCGGCGCTAACGTTTGCGCCGACGCGTTCAACGCGTCGGATCACGTGGACGAGCAGGCACGTCCGATCGAGCGCTCGTGGCTGCGCTTGCAAGTGGTTGTGTGCTCTCGGTCAATCCAAACTTACAGCTTTGTAGAAGAATGGTGCCCAATACTCCCTCAGCGCTTTGCTCGCTTGACTGACAACAAGCATACAGGGTGGAGGTGCTCGTTATCCCTACCCGAAGGAGGTCTGGTCACCAGCCGGTACGTGCCGACAAGTTCCTTGCGAGACCTATTTTGACACGTTCATTTTCGTAAAGGTGGCTGGTGGACACGGCCGTCGAACTGGAAAGCTAACACCGCGATCGCGTTTGCCAGCATCCTTGCCGTCACATATGGAGCTTGGACTGTTAGCGCAGATAAGGAGGCGCGTCCATATTCACTCTCGATCTGGATTTACCCTGACATTGTGCCCATAGGAGAGACATGTAGAACCCATCCGGCCCATTCCTTCGATGCTGGTTTGTCCTTCCCTTTCATGTCGCTATATACTAATCTAAGATATCGACTGTGCAGTGGGCCAGACAATACCGGGAAAAGAAGGCCGAGTGATTGTTTCTGCAATGCTGTTATTCCCTGGTATTTCTGGATTGTATGATGTCTGCAAAGATCACCGAGAGAGACCGTACACGATGCTCATAACGGTCGGTGCCTTCCAAGTGACCTGCACGACTTGCGTAAAATTGGCATTTAACCAAGGGCTCCTGATAAGTAGGACGTGTCTCAACTTGAGTCCTTCAAACATCATTGCGTTTGCTTTTCCTGTATGACATCGAACGTGTTTGGGTTCAAGTGAAGAAAAAGTCCGATGGGATATGCAAAAGCGATGGCCTACATGTCTATATGTAAGTCGTACAAAACAACAGAAAAGTACAGGGACAGCAAACTGAGAGCGGAAACTAATAGCATGATTCATGCAACCAAGTAGACAGGCCTTCGCAGTCTGGTCCCAATTACTCATTCTCCTCTTCGCCCCCGTCGTTGTCGGGAACGTTGTCTTGGATAGTCATCATGTCATTCAAGCTAGAGATGGTGTCATGTAGTCACTCAATGTCTATTCGTATGAGTCTACGACACCACTTACCAGTGTACGAACGGCTGCATCACCTTCAACACTTTACATAGCGATTCCTTGAAATCCGGCGACAAAACCTCACTGTCCAAGAATCTATATGAAAGCAACAATATTCAGCGCAATATAATAGGCATTCCCGTGGAGACGAAACTAACCGGTGTATCACACAGAACGACCGGCATTTCAGCAAATCAATGTCCCTGACGTGATGTTAGGCAAATACAGCGCAAAGCGGTAGGCAAACACATACGGGTGTGTCTTCTCGAAGCCCTTTGGCGCCGTCTTGAGCTCGTCGTCCATCCCGAAGATATTCTGATGGTTTCCGTCAGGATGCCGCTCAGGCGGCCCAAAATGCTGCACAAAGTCCGGATTGGATATGATATTCCGGAGGCGGCGAGGGGATCGCATGATGTTACTCCTAATAGCACAAATCAATATAATGCGTCAAGACCGAGGCAAGACTATGCACCGTATCGTCGCGAGCTCATTCTTGCCTGGACACCATGCGCCGGCAGCGATAAGACTTTGACCACCAGGTTTGACTGAGGGGAAGGTGGAGAGTTGTAATAATGTGCTACGTTGAGCGAATAAAATACGTACTCATGCTTTGAACAGGAGTTCAACATCCGTCAGTCAGCTGTACAAGTTGGAACATTGACGAGGTTTACTGACATGTGGTCTACAAAACCTCAGCATGCATCTCGATCATGGACGACACAGACACTTACAATGGGCGAATATCCCCTTTCGTCCGCTCCGCGAGAAGCTCCCAGAGAACCCAGTCTTGTATGGTGTCTTGTCATTACTGAAGCGAACCTGGAGGCGCAACATAAACGATGCCATAACATATCAACCTCAGATCAAACCTACGTCGCGATATATGCGGTGGATCACGTCCTTCGGCGGCAGGAAGGGAATCTGCGAATCGACCTCGATGAGGAGGGGTGTGAGCTCCTCGATGAAAGCCTTCCACTCTTTTTCTGCGAGGCGATACACGGGCTCTGCAGTGAGGGCTGTCAGAATCTCCGCATGATGGTGGAGAATGATGCGGGCTGACCGTTCAGCTTGAACCTAGTATATGCGCTCGTGAGACGATTGCGATTGAGACCTGCTGCGCACTTACCACTCGCGGTCATTGCATTCCGGCTTCTGGAGCTGCGACAGAAAATCGAATGTGTTCTTCGAGATCTGGCCTGGTGGCACTGCAGCAACATGTCATGAGCATCAGTATGAACATTGGTGGCGCCTTTGGCCGTAAAATCAAAGCATCCGGGTAGCACGGAGTCGATTCTGCCCTGGCCAGGAATGCAAGGAGGATGCTCACAAATAGAACATGCGACTTACCCCAGCCGGTCGTATGAGCCTTCACAACGATCCCCACGACCTCTTGCCCCTCTTTCAGGTCCAGGTCGTCGTCATCCTCGTCGCTCTCGTCCGCCCTTTTCCGCTTCTTCCTGAGACTCGCCTTCCTGGCCGACGCTTTCTTGGACCTAGGTGCTGCACGTTTGCGTTTCTTCGCACCGCCATCCGACTCCTCGTCAAGCGCGTCGCTGTCCAGGGACTCTACCTCCTCCTCATCTTCGCTCCGATACACGTCCTCGTCCGACCGGTCTCCTTCGCTCCCCGACCGCTCCTCGTCTTCCTCGTCACGATGGACAGCGGCGGCTCTCCCTCTGATCCTGCCGGATGACGCGGCCTTCCGCGCGGGCACCTTCTTCGCTTTCGTTGGGGTGCGTTTTGCGCGAGCAGGCATCCGGCAAAGTGGGCAACCGGAGGTACTGAGGAGAGTGAGGGCGCCTAATGCGTCAGGACGCGCCGCGGACGCATCCGCGAATCATCCCGCTTGAACTCTGTCTACTGCCACCGTGTTCTCTCACTTGGAGAGAAAGCCTGTTCTTCGGATCAACATTTCAAATCGACCGAATGCGCGACACAGGTTGCCTAGCGTCTAGACGCACGCTCGCATTCTGGGTTAATCAATCATAAACAAAACCGTAATGGCGACCGTCTCTCAAAAGCTTTCTGTACGTATACTACATACACCTCCCATTTCAAGCTGGTGCCTTTATCCTCTTTTGCCAACCCTCGGCAGTTTGTTCCGCTATATGCTATGTCAGCCTATGGTCGAACGTCTGCGCGCTTGCACCTACCATTGCAGAATGCAACCAGATCGTGCTCCAAGCGTTTGGTGTTATCGCATTCGCAAGTGTCGGACATCAATTGAGATCTAAGTATATGCACTACCCCGGGTTATCTAGGCCAGGCATTGATCGCCCAACCCCTGTATGATCAACGCCACAGGCGAATGCGGGGCCTGCGGGGAGGCGCGAGCTTGGGAGCACCAAAAATGCGGGAAATAACCAATGGCATCATTGGTCGCCTGACAATGCCTACGCGGTGATTGGCATAGAGGGCGTCGGGTCGGGTTTCTCTGTACCGGTCGGCCGGAGTGCTTTCGATCGCCTGGTCCTCCCGATGCTCTTCTCGATCACCACGGAGGGCGGAAAGTGAGTGTTCGCTCGTGCCGATTTTCTCGCGGGTAGCGTCTCATTCTTGTCTTCTGCGCAGCTCTAGGCCGCGATACGCGTTCGGTGTGCGCCACACGCCTATCGGTACCGCAGCGATACGCCATATGATGCATGTATTCCTGAGTGATACGCCGTGGGCTGAACGCTCCGAAGGGAGTATGGATGTACGCTGCGATAGCGGGGATGTCTATCTTCGAAGTGCGTCATCTCGCGCGAATGTCCGTCACGCGTCGCTGACAGTGTCTTCCTCAGCAGCATGTGAGGTTGCGAGTCGTACGTTCTCCGCTGCGAGCTGGGCGGCGCATAACTCTGACCGTGTCTCGATGGCACGACGTGATGTTTACGAGATGATGTGTACCGAGTATGTTTCGGGCAGCCCTGTTCTCCGCACTGCCCCAGCTGTAATTTGTCGTGTACGATACCTCCTGTGTGATGTATCATTCTTCTGTCGCGAATGTCAGCCATGCACGATCCGAATAGGCTCTGCGGGGCGTCTGCGGGACTAGTCTGGGAACGCCCCGCCCTAAGCGACCCCGTGCATCTTGACATACCTCCGCTGCCGCGGTCCCCGCAACCCAGGGGCAAGCTGAGGGGCGCCCTGGGGTGCCGCTAATTGGGTTACCGTCACGATCGCGTGATCACGCGCGCGCCCTTAGTAGATTAGTCTGCGATATATAGCGCCCCCTCGACAACGCAATGATCCATCCTCCCCGCCCCCCACCATGTCCGAAAACCCTCACGAGCCCGTCCCCACCCACCCCATCGCGCCCAGGCTCAAGAATGGCCTCAAACAGCCGCACATTGGACCTGACATCCACGCATACAGGTGAGACTTTTCCTCGCATTTTGTTCGTGACCCGAGACGACGAAGTGCACACTAGGGCATTCCACGAGCAAACACTCGGCCATGAGAGCGACAAGTGGTGGGCGAAGGTGACGAGCGTCTTACCGCGCCAGATATACGTGCGCTGACTGCTCATACAGATGGCGCGAGAGACGATCTCCTGGGACCGCCCGTTCCACACCGTGCGGGCAGGTGGATTCGAGACGGGCGACATTGTCTGGTTCCCCGAGGGTGGATTGAACGCGTCATACAATTGCGTCGATCGGTGGGCGTTCAAGCATCCAGACAAGGTACAGCCCCATGCTTCTCATCTTCTCTTCTCAATACACTCCCAGGCGCATGTGCCGTGACTCCGTCACGGAACACGCCGAGCGGACACCAGAAGTCGTCTGCTAGACACAGCGCCACAACGCCTAGTGCATTGTTGGCGTCTCTGAGATAGATTTTATGGGATGTGGGGAGGCTTTGTGACAATTTTCAATTGGTCTGCCCTGATTGGCCAACTCGCGCGCTAGTAGGCGGGTGGCGCGCTGGAGAGTTGGCGAGCGAGCCTGCTTCCCATGCAATCTATTTCAGAGTTTTCTCGTCTATCGGGTCTACGACCGGATTAGCCTCTGTCGCTGTAACTCACACATGCTTTCACACACAGACTGCGATCATTTACGAGGCGGATGAGCCCGGTGAGGGCTACGAGGTCTCATATGCCCAGCTGCTCCGCGAGGTGTGCGGGATTGCGAATGTGCTCAAGTCGCTCGGCGTCAAGAAAGGCGATACCGTGTCAGTGTACCTGCCGATGACATGGCACGCCGTCGCGGCGTTCCTCGCCTGCGCGCGCATCGGAGCTGTCCACTCCGTGGTGTTCGCGGGTTTCTCCGCGGAGTCGCTCCGTGATCGTGTGCAAGACTGCAAGTCGCGCGTCTTGATTACCTCCGACGAGGGTCGGCGTGGTGGGAAGGCGATCGCAACGAAAGTCATCGCAGACGCCGCTGTCAAGGAGTGTCCGGACGTCGAGCACGTACTCGTGCTGAAACGCACGGGTAATGATGTACCCTTTACGCCTGGCCGAGACAAATGGTGGCATGAGGAGATCGCAAAGGTGCCGAGCTACTGCCCGCCTGAGGTGATGTCGTCAGAAGACCCCTTATTCATCCTCTACGTGAGTCCATGCCAGCGAATATCTGCGGTCATAAAATAACCGCGTTTTAGACTTCTGGCTCTACCGGCAGGCCGAAGGGTGTTGTCCATACCACCGCTGGATACCTACTCGGTGCTGCTTTGACGGTGAAGTACATCTTCGATGTACATCCCGATGACAGGTTCGCTTGCATGGCAGATATTGGCTGGATTACGGGACACACGTAAGTTACACTTTTTCGCGTTATTCGCGAAAACCTCACTCTGGTCCGACAGATACATCGTTTACGGCCCCCTGATGAACGGCGTGTCCACGATGGTGTTTGAATCGACGCCCGTCTACCCGACCCCATCCCGCTATTGGCAGACGGTCGACAAGTTCAAGGTCACGCAGTTTTACTCCGCCCCAACTGCCATCCGTCTCCTGCGCCGTCTCGGTGACCACCACGTGAAGGATCATGATCTTAGCACTCTGCGCGTTCTTGGTAGTGTCGGCGAACCGATTAATCCGGAAGCGTGGCATTGGTATAATGATCACGTTGGGCGCAAGCAGTGTGCCATTGTCGACACCTTCTGGCACGTACTCTCCCCTTCTGCGCAGAAGATGTTCCGTTGATCCTTCTTCATTCAAAAGGCAAACGGAAACAGGCTCCATCGTGGTGACCCCCTTCCCCGGTGCGATCGAGACGAAGCCAGGCGCGGCAACGGTGCCTTTCTTCGGAATCGAGCCTGCAATCTTGGACCCGGTCACGGGTAAGGTGAGATCTGTTTGTGCGATCGCGCGTCGAGTGCGCGCTCATGTGATGATGCAGGAGATTGAAGGTCCGAATGTTGAGGGGGTCCTCGTGCTCAAGACCCCTTGGCCGTCCATCGCGCGCACGGTGTACCAAGATCACAAGAGGTCCGTGGCGTAGCGCTAAGCTACATGCTGTCATAGGGGCTAACATCATGTGGGATTGCAGATATCTGGAGACGTATATGAAGGTCAGTATGGAAGGTCTAATTTAGTGAACTCAGCTGAGACTGTTGTGGAATAGCCGTACCCCGGTGTCTTCTACACTGGTGATGGTGCTGCGCGCGACGAGCACGGGTACATCTGGATTAAGGGGCGCGTTGATGGTGCGTAGTTTAGTGCCTGCTCCTCTTGCTTCCATGGGTCTAACGAGCCCCATCTCGTAAGATGTCATCAACGTCTCCGGTCACCGGTTGTCGACCGCAGAGATCGAGTCTGCGCTTATCACGCACGCTGGCGTTGCAGAGACCGCCGGTGAGTCTATTTTTTGTCTGGATATATGGCCGACGTCGCCTAATGGTGATGGTTCGACAGTCGTGGGCACAGCAGATGAGTTGACAGGCCAGGCCGTCTACTCTTTCGTGACCCTGAAGCCGTGAGTGTTGCATGCGGATACTGTCTTGGTGGTCCACTCAACTATTCCTAAAGGGAATTCACCTTCGATCCGAATGAGGAGGCCGCTCTCGTCAAGGAGCTCACGCTGCAAGTGCGCAAGGTCATTGGTCCTTTTGCAGCGCCGAAGAAGGTGTACATCGTACCTGATCTGCCGAAGACGAGGTCCGGCAAGGTGCGTATGGGCGGCCCTGGTGTGCTACTGTGAACTTATCGTACGTGTCTGCAGATCATGCGACGCATCATGCGCAAAATTGTAGCGGGAGAGGCGGATCAGCTGGGCGACCTGAGCACGCTCGCGGACCCGAGCATCGTGGACGTCATCAAAGCGAAGGTGGCGTCTGCGTGATGATTGCTGCCCTGGTGCTCAGAGAGGTGCTTTCTCGTGAGGGAATCTAGTGCGGTGAATTTATGTCATGTATTTTATTAGCTAGCAGTTTGTTTATACCATCTGAATGTAGAACTTAATGTAGCGCTTCGTTCTTGAATTCTACTTGCTTTATCACGCGAGTCGAGAGGTCGGGATGTTGTTGCTCCCGCTAGTGGATTTTAATTTCGTTGTTGAAGCGCAGGGAAGAAGCGTAAAGCGAGCTCGGGGCGAAGAGATGTGTTAGCGACAGCGCGTTTTCACATGGCGTACATATAGCCGCGCTAACTGCACTCGCGAGGCGCACTGGGCTATTCTAGACAACATCGACGCGCGACGCTCGCAGGTCCATACCTCACGCTTGCCTCCTTCTGGCCATCTTGCTCGACGACATGTTCTATGGGCTCGTGAACTACTTCCATGAGAGACGGCCAAGGCTCCGACGGATGGCTGGGTATCTCGGAGGCGCATACCTGTTGGGGAGCTATGTCCTGGAGCGCTTCGAGGACGTCCGCACGCAGGTCACGCAGGACCGACTGGCCAAAGACAAGTGCGTCGCATGTACGTGCTCGCAGCCGGTGTGTATACTGAGCGGGCCCATGTGGCAAGTCTGCGGAAGCGGTTCGAGCAGAACCAGCAAGATATATCGTACACAATAATGGCGCTCCTGCCGACCCTTGGGAAGCATGTGCTGGAGGGCATGGACGTCGAAGGGGTCACCGCTGAGCTGCAGTCCATGTCGAAGCCCTCCCGCTCGCCAAAACCTGCCAGCCCGCCGGAGACGAGTCTGGCGTCCAGCGTGGAGCTGACGAGCCCGGTAGTGGCCGACGAGCTTTCTGAGAATGGCTCGGTCTCAATCATCTCGTCTGTGCATGAAAATGGAACATCGTTGCACACGCCCGACTCCTCTATGAGCTGGGTGGACCAGCTTTCCATGCAGAGCTCACAGGAACCCGGGGCAATAGCAGCAGCAGCATCGATGTCCGAGAGTCCTGCAGATGTAGAGTCTTCAAAGCTTAACGGAAGCCTCTCAGAATCCATGCTGTCGACGAGCAGCACCTCGAGCAAACTGGAAAATGGACACGGGAACGTGAGCACACATGCAGATTTCTCTCATAATGTTGAGGCGACGAGTATGCTTGACTTCTCAGTCTCCGCCAGAGAGTATATCCTCGGAAATAATAAGCACAATAACGAGAAGCAAGGCCGAGTTATGGAAAGAAGTCAAAATACTCAGTAAGCCACTCGTGCGTTGGTTGCAGGGCGGACCTAAACATCTGTGCTAGCATTCACGCGAACACTGACCGCACTCTACTCTATCACCTTACTCTCCCTCTTTACCCATATTCAACTGAGTTTGCTTGGCCGCTCTAAGTACATCCAGTCCGTCAAACAAATGGAACGCGATGAGCGGATACGAGAACAGCTACACTACGCATCGACGGACTTCTCACATCTATGGAGTAGCGGTGATCTCCCTAGTGCGGATGAACTCGACGAGCGGGAAAGTCTAAGCGAGGAAACTGAGCACAAATTCCTCACACTCAGTTGGTGGATTTTGCATGTAGGTTGGAAGGACGTTGGTGAGAGGGTGCGCAGAGGTGTGGAAGATGTCTTCGAAGAGTGCGTTCTCAGTGATCACACCGCGTATCTGTCCGACTGAGGGGCGCGGCCCAGAGTATCTCTCAAGTCCAAGTTAACGATCAACGATCTCTTCCGCCTCGTGAGCGACGTCCGAAGACGGATCGAATATGAGGTGACATTCGAGGGGCACGAAAGACGGATAAAGTGCGTTTGGTAGTTCAAATTCACCGTCATCATATCTTTTACCATCCCCAGCTTCGTATCTGCCCTCTTACCACCCACCACCGAGACCCTGCAGCACGTCCTCACGCAAGGCGGGATCCCGCCACACATCGCGGGCGCACCAGATCTGCAATTCCACGCGCTGCTTGAAGAGGCACGAACGCACATTCTGTCTGCCTCGGGCCAGCGCGTGCTGGAGGTGTGTCTTGATGAGGCGACTGAGACGCTCTTTTCTGCGCTGCAGAGGCAGGTATTCAACAGCGGAGCCGCGCGGTATGGCGTGGACACAGACGATGTGGAGCAGCCGCGCGAGCGTCTGGCGGCGATGCTGCCTGGGTTGGCGCGGTGGTGCCATAGGGCGTTCGACGCGCTGCCGAATGAGCTTGTGGATGTGCGTGCTTTCTTCTCTTTACAATGCGCCAATGCGCTGAACATCGTGCAGGGATTGGGGAACTTGAGGGACATGGAGGCGTTCTCTGCTATCGTATTTTCGAGTTATGACGATCACTTCCGATAATGTTATCTTTGGCTGAAACGACCCAAGGCCGCCGAAGATGAGCTCTGCATGATGTCACGGTAAGAAGGGAGCAGATCCTATTCACGACAGACATCTTCCTATTGGTGACTGATTAGCGATGTTTCGGACGTATACCGATTATTATTGTTTCAAGCGATTGCTGTTGATATGATCCTTTCACACCTAGTACAACAATTCGGATTGCGGATCACGCCAGCTAACTACAAGATTGTGTAAAGTGTAAGTTTGTAATCGTACAACTTTTGCTTCTCCGTTTCGACAAGAATCTCTCATGAGACGAGCTTCTCTAGGTTGATCGGCGTGCCATTGCTCGTCAGACCGGCCTGAATGAACGCGACATCCTGCAGCGCGCCTCTTGCAGTCCCGAGTCCGTTGTCGGAGCCCCCGATGGCGTCAATGAAGTACCGTAGCTCGTTCGGTACACCATCCGTCTCTTTGTCGATGATCTCCTCGGTCTCGCCGATGTCCTTCCCGTCCTTGTCGCGCTTTGCGGTGACGACAGTGACACGCAAGCCGCCGACGGGGCGTGAGCCGTCGATCACCTTCACCTGGTTCACAGAGAGCCATCCGTCCGTCCCGGTGATGGTGATGCCATTGAACGCGCGCTCGGAGCGCGACGTGGTGGGCGCAGCGAAGGTCAGCTCAACGATGCCGTGGGAGCCGTCGGCGGACTGAACGACGGCGTTGATCGTGTCGTGCGGCGCGAGCCAGTCCTTGTTTAAGGAGGCGAAGCCGGAGAGCGTCTTGAAAGAGCTGGGGAGCATGGTACGGAGAGCAGCTATCGTGTGCTGAAAGCATGCTATCAGCTTCCGTCTGCACATATGATCAGAAGGTACTCACAACACCACCATCGAGCTGCGGATGTCTCGTTGATCAGCAAAACCAGCTTCCCGCTTGATAGTATGACTCACCAAGAAGCCACCTTGGTACTGGTCACATAAAAAGGCGGGTCAGTCCACAGCCATCGCTGTCTAGTTTGCTGAAAACGTACGTCTGGGATTGTGCGCCAAGGGGTGTTGTACCATTTTGAAGACTGGTCGATATAGTTCACTACGCGGGCGTTGTAGAAGATCACCTTCCCGATCTTTCCCTCCTTGATCGCCCTGGCAGCAGCCTGGTAGCCTGACTCGGCCTCGAAGTTCTCTGCCACCCGCCAGATCAGGCCTTTGGCTTTGTACTGCTTCTCATACTCTTCGATCAGCTTCAAGCCAGAGGCGACATCCTTCGCGACGGGCTTCTCGCTGAGAATGTGCTTCCCGGCAGCTAGGGCCTTGCGAATAATGTCTGGCTGCGTCGTGATAGGGAGAACGACGATGACCGCGACGATATCTGGCCTCGCGAGAAGAGCATCCAAATTTGCGTTTGGGGCCGCGTCGTAGTAGACGTCCGGCTTCGAATCGAGCTTCAATGCTGATTGAGCATCGGCCGCCAGACCCGCCGCGCTCTTCTCAGAACGGGAATAGATAGCTTTGAGGGTGACGACGGAGCTGCCGACAGCGGCAATTGCAGGAAGGTGCGCTGACGAGGACGAATGTCGGACGACGGGTGAGTTTCCTGTGCATTGCGAGACGACGATCATGCTGAAATGGAGGCAGCGTACCTTCCTTAGCGAAAATGCCTGAGCCTAGGATCGCGATGCCTGTGGGGGCCATAGTGGTAGGTGGTCAAGGAACGGTTGTCTGAGCTCGATGACAGGCCGCCGAAGGGCCTTATGAGCACGGCGAGCTGCCGGCGAGGGTGACGCTATCGGAGCATAATTCGCGACAACCTGAGCAGCGATGTTGCAAACAGCTTGTATGTCGGGAAATTGTCGGCCCAGTGGCAGCAAGGGTGGACATCACCTGCGTCAGTCCTCGGACGCCGGCGCGGGTGTCGGTACGTCGTCGGAGCCCCTGAGCGCTCAAGCGCGTTCATATGCCGCGTTGGGATCGGCCGCTATCTGATAAGAAAACCCGTTCAGCGGCGGCATACACTGTCACCTACAAGCACGGCAAGACACTGCTCCGCTTCGATATCTGTTCAGTGGAAAACAGTCTCATGTGTATACTTGAACGTCATCGTGATCGTTCAACTGCCCAAGAATGTGTAGTGCTCGATGCTACTTGTCTGTTGTCAACGTCCATTCAGTATTTGTGATCGCTCCATCTCGCACAGGATCTTAATAGCCAAGCCATGATCCGTCCTATGATCACGGATACCATCGGGTAGAGGCCAAAGTCGCGGTGCCTTACGCATCTGTGATTGAGTGCCCCTCGTCAACTCCATACCATCCTCGGTACTTCTCTGGTATGCCTCTGTCGGAGCCGGTAAAGCATCGTCTATTCATTCTGTTGTACGTTTATGCTCAATGATTTCCCATGACACAGAGCATCCGTTCCTGATGCTACGGACACCCTAGGGTTCAATGCAAGTATCAACTCCACTGTTTCGTTCTAGAAGACATCTTGAATGCGGACTAATCTCGGTGTCCTCTTGTCGGATATGCCGATTGAGAAGAGATTATATCGGCGCTGTACTGCTGCGAAGCCTTAAGAGCGATGACATGCGTGCGCGCTACTTTCTTCCATCCCCTCACTCTCAACCATGGCCAACAAGATAAGTAGCAGACTACCCAAGGATTTCTTGTGGGGCTTTGCAACAGGTGGGACTCTTTCTGTACACTTCTGCTGAGGCCTACTGTCGGTCGTCCTGCTTACATTGACTATCCTTATTCGCAGCCAGCTTCCAGATTGAAGGATCGACACAAGTAGATGGACGCGGAAAGTCTATATGGGATGACTTCTCCAAGAAACCTGGCAAAACGCTGGATGGTCGAGATGGCGATGTCGCTACAGACTCGTACCGGCTCTGGAAAGACGACCTTGACCTGCTGGTATCCTACGGAGTAAAGTCTTACCGCTTTTCTATTGCCTGGTCTCGGATCATACCTCTCGGAGGAAGGAATGACCCAGTGAATGAGGCGGGCATCCGCTTCTATTCTAATCTCATTGACAACTTGCTTGCAAGGGGCATTATCCCTTTCGTGGTATGTATTGGGGAAAGACTCGTGATGCCCTGTCTGAAAATCGTTCAGACGCTTTACCACTGGGACCTACCGCAAGGCCTTGAGGACCGCTACGGTGGTTGGTTGAACAAAGAAGAGATTGTCAAGGACTACGTGAACTATGCCAAGGTAGGCCTTTCTAATACCTCTAGCTGGATCCTATTCGCTAACGGATGATCCCCAGATCTGTTTTGAACGGTTCGGAAATCGTGTCAAGAATTGGTAATCACCTATTTCCAGGCTCTATGACAACAGAAGCGCTCATGGGATTCATCCTGCAGGCTAACGTTCAACGAGCCCTGGTGCATCTCCGTCCATGGGTATGGCCATGGCGTGTTCGCACCTGGCCGCTCGAGCGACCGCACGCGGTGTCCTGAGGGCGACACCTCCACAGAACCATGGCTGTACGTGTGCTCACGTCCCACTCCGCGCGATGCCCCTTACTCACTGCTCCCTCCTGCCGCATACATTCATCTTCGACAGCGTCGGCCACAATGTGATCCTCGCGCATGCATACGCTTCGAAGCTCTACCGTGAGGAATTCAAGCAAGCGCAGGGTGGCCAGATTGGCATTACGCTCAACGGAGATTGGGCTCTGCCGTATGACGATAGTCCAGAGAGTGCGTCTCGCGGTGATCGTATCCTTTACCCCGGCCCGCGGGCGGGTTGATGGCAGCTCTGCTGACGGTCCGACTGTCCAAAATGACAGATATTGCGGCCGCGCAGCACTCGCTCGACGCGTTCATTGGTCAGTCGGGTCTTGGGTTTCGTGAGCTGAGGATCCGATGCTGACCTCCTGACTTTTGCTGTTGGCATTGGCGTTTAGGTTGGTTCGCGGTGAGTATGCTTCTCCTCAATCTTGTGCGACGTGCGGGCGATACACAATCTCCCGCCCTGGGATCCTCTTCTTCTCCGGCGACCCTGGCTAATTTTGCCGCATATGCGCCGCGCAGGACCCGATCTATCTCGGCCACTACCCGGAATATCTAAAGGAGATGCTCGGCAGTCGACTGCCAACCTTCACTGCTGAGGAGTTGCATGTGGTGAAGGGTTCCTCCGAGTTCTATGGCATGAATACATACACCACTAATCTGTGCAGTGAGTGCATACGCCCCGTGTGCCGCGATCGTGATAGCTCATTGCCACGATCCCTACGGGCGTGTAGTGGCTGGCGGGGACAATGAGTTCCAGGGCAAGGTGAAATACACGTTCACGAGGCCTGATGGGACGCAGCTGGGAACACAAGGTCTGTCCCCATTACTCAAAGGTTGACTGTGGCCGCATCCTGACTTCCCTCAAGCACACTGTGCATGGTTGCAGGACTGTGAGCATAGTTCGCTTTCAATGCACTTGCACTGAGTGATCCCCTCGAAAGATGCACCAGGGTTCCGGCAACTCCTGAACTACTTGTACAAGGTAGGCACACCACGCTCTCGTTCTATGATCCAGCCTGACCGCGTTCCCAGCGTTATCGCAAGCCTATATAGTGAGTGCCCCTGGCTGGATGAACTTCGGTATTCACGCTGACATCGGGTACCATGAAAGCGTAACAGAGAACGGCTTCGCTGTCAAGGATGAAAACAACAAGCCGGTCGAAGAAGCGCTCTCGGACTACGATCGCGTGCACTACTTCCAGGGCACAACTTCTTCGCTACTATCTGCAGTCGTCGAGGACGGCGTCGACATCCGTGGCTATTTCGCGTGGAGTAAGCGCCCCATTCGGGAGTTCTGGTGCGAGGCGCTGACGATCCTGGTTTCCCCGCAGGTCTCATGGACAACTTTGAGTGGTAATGATCCCCAGGTAACCCATGTTTACCCGAGGCTGATGCCAACCCCGCAGGGCGGACGGGTACGTGACGCGCTTCGGGGTGACATACGTCGACTACGAGACGCAGAAGCGCTACCCCAAGGACTCGGCGCGGTTTGTCTGCCAGGTTCGTGAGCTTATCTCGACGTGCCCCGCGGACACTAAGCGGAGTGCGCATCTCCAGTGGTTCAAGGAGAATATCGAGAAGGACGAGTCCTCGGAATCGGCTGCTGGGCCGTCGGCTCCCGTGAGCAAACTGGCAGATGACGCGCACCTCATAGATGCTGTTAGAGCATGAAGACGGATTGGCATGCGTGGACTGCCCTGCCTGAGGCGGCAAGTCTGCGGGCCTTATAGCTGGCCCCACGGAAGCAACTGCTCGTTCGTCAATAGGTGCTTGGGGTTGCTGAGTCCTCAACGACTATGTCTCTCGGAATGCTTTTATATGTCGTCGATGAATTCTGTAGATAGTATCGCTGTGTCCGCGTTGAATATAAGGTTTTCTGCTGTTCGGCTCTACGATCTCATGGGGACTCCTCAACCCCGCGTGCGGTCTCGCTCGGGCGTGCGCGGGGTAGTTGCTGGTCCTGTCCTTTCTCACGGCACTCCGTGATGCCCCTACGTGACTATAAATTCGTTTATGTGGCGTGTTTGCGCCAAAGCCTCTATCTCGTGCAAGCCTGAAATGGAAGTGCCTTTTCCTGTTACGTCTTGACCTCCCAAAACACCTTTCATGCTCTTCTGCGGTGTTCTACTCCTTCATATACCATGCCAGCTCTTCGCATATAGATACGGTGTCGGTGTTTCTCCTTGACCTCTCCCGGAGCAAACGACCTCCTCGCCTCTTATGTAAGGGCAATGGTCACAGATGTCACGAGGGAGAGGGGGACCCCGGTAAGGCTGGGATCCCAAAGCCCAAATGAGAGCTGGCATAGCCGCCAGCCGTTACGGGGGCCTGAAAATGGGAGCCCACGCCGAGCACTCCCGACTTCGTACCATGTCTAGCTTTCCAGTCGATCCGGCCCACGCCGATAATACCAGCCCTCCTGATTCCGCCTCGACTGACCAGCATCACTCTGAGGGCGCGGCGAATGGCGAACAGGATAATGACGGACCCGGGAAGAAGAAAAAGGGTCCAAAACGCCGCAAAGTCAACCATGCCTGTCTCTACTGTCGTCGCAGCCATATGACCTGCGACGAAGGACGTCCCTGCCAACGCTGGTAAGTGCGTCCCGCTGCGGTCTTGGAGTGCGCCATGGTCACACCCGGATTTGGCTCAGTATTAAACGCGAAATCGGCCACCTCTGCCACGACGAGCGGCGATCCTCGGTAAAGGAGAAAACACCAACTCCTGGAAGCAGCTCTATTCCAAACCCTCCCGTCGACGTCGCGCGAGCCCTACCTGGTAGGTAGCCTTCGCTTGTGATGCGACTGTGACCAGAGTTGACCCTCAGCCGATCACTATGACATCAGGATCTTCTCCCTTCGGCTCGACCCCAATAGCCCCGACCACTATGAACCCCGCATGGCCTGGAATGGGCATGGCGCAAGGAGCATTCCTGTACCAGCCCGAGGCCTTGAATGAATTTTCAGTCCTATCGTATGTCTTTCTTCCACTGCGGCACACAACCACATGGCCTGAATACCCCCTGCGCAGGGACTTCCTCGAATCCCTTGATGACGGCTCGTTCTTTGGACAACCCAACGGTGTTGGGCCCTCGCTGATGTCACCTACCCCCTACAACAGCACCGTCCTTGGCGTAGACAACCCATATATTTCGAACGAGCGGCCGGCCAGTCCGGCTGAACCTGCCCCCGCTGCCCCCGAGAAGCCTCCAGCAGAGCCGGCTCCTGTCGTCCTCCCGGCGGCAACGAAGACGGAGAGGTTTTTCCTCACTGCGGCAGACCAAGCGTCGGGGTCACGCAACGAGCGCCTGAACATGGTCATCAGGAGCAAATACGAAGCGGGCCTACTCAAACCATACAACTATGTCAAGGGATACGCACGATTATCGCGATGGATGGACAAGAAGTGAGGGGAGCATGTTTCCCCCATTTGCACGCTGACCTATCACTTTAGTGTCTCCCTCGAGTCGAAACAGAAGATCCTCCAGCCACTTTCGGTGCTACGGCCGAAATTCAGAGTGAGCTCCCGATATTGTGTGGAGTGCGTCGTTTAACCGTGCACCACAGGCGATCGCACAGTCAGAGTCCCTGACAGACATAGTATGCATCATTGTAACGAGGCAGCTCTCCAGGCGCAGTTGTGACATATGTTGCAGGATCTCGTGTTCATAGAGGAGGCATTCGAGCGTCTGCTACTCGACTATGACCGGGTGTTCTCCGCAATGGCCATCCCGGCATGCCTGTGGCGACGCACGGGCGAGATCTACAAAGCGAACCGCGAGTTTGCTGAGCTCGTGGGCGTCGACGGGTACATGCTCCGTGATGTGCGCTCTCACCCTCATGCGATTGACCCTATGGGTGCGCTGACGGTTGCCATTGCAGGGCCGTTTATGCATCTACGAGCTCATGGCGGAGGACTCGGCTGTGAACTACTGGGAGGTATGCATCATGACTGGTCGCGTTGGTTGCCTGCTCTGACGCTAGTGTACGCTGCAGAAATACGGCAATGTCGCGTTCGACTCAAATCAGAAGGCAGTTCTCACGTCGTGTGTGCTCCGGTACAAGCCATCCCTACCGTCGTCGGGCGCGACGACGCCCTCGCGCAGGTCGACGCAGACGCCGCCAAAAGAAGAAGGCTTCATCAGCTGCTGCTTCTCGTTCACGATCCGGAGGGACCCGTATGGGATCCCGACGCTGATTGTGGGCAACTTTATCAAATGTTGACAATGTCCGTCCGTGCCGTGTATTTATCTGTCTTGCTTTTAGTCTGCTGGTACAAGGTGTAGAATAGTGTTTGATTGCGATGGGCGTTCGTTCATCAACCCACGAAGGCTCTGTAATATACCGTCTTCTCGCCGTTATATCTGTTAGGTTTCTTTCGAGCCGTGCTGTAGAAAACAGACAGTGCCCGCTACAACGCCACAACCAGAATGTGCTGCCGATACGGTCGAGGATGTTCACGCTGTACCAGTATGAAGCAACATACAGTACTGGACATACACAAATGTCTGGATTTGCTTAAATTATTTGCAAGGAGAATGACATTGTATCTTATCAGATAAGTAGTGCCATGTTAGCGCCCATGTCTTGTGTCCAGTCTGTTGACGCTCGATCTATTCTAGTATTTCTTCAGGTTTCTTCGCTTCGTCCGCTTTTCTATCTGAAGGCTATAGAATCAGCACCACCAATTCGGCTTCATCTCAGAGCTCCTGAGGCGCATATCATACGATAGACATGCTAATTGTTCTGGACATCTACTCTATTTCATAGCCTTGATGTCTCCGGGCCTCATCTTACGGAAGCGCAGTATATTAGCTCTCCAAGGAGCACCGCCCAACCTAATATCGCCCACCTCGGCGCGAACACGTTTTCTGACTCTTCTCAAACCACTCCGAGATGCGCGTAGTGGAGTACCCGTCTCTTACCGCACTGCACATGCACGAGCGCATGAGCGCATTCCCTGCTGAGCAGCTCGACCATGGTCGGCTGCAGACGCGTCCGCCAAGGAGCGTCGAACCTGCAGGTACGTGCGCCTTTGGTCTTATCGCATGAGGGGACCAGAACGAGCGATTTGGCAGGCTTCGGTGGGTCTATCCGTCGTAAGTTGCTAGAGGTGAAGGACGCATCCACCCGCAGCTTCAAGCGTCGTTCGATATCCGCCTCTCGCATGCTCTCCTCAGACGGTATCGCAGTCTCTACGGACCCGGACCAGCAACCGCGGATACAAGGACACCAGCGTCAACAGCGATCGCTCTCCGAGGTTCTATACACGCGACCGTTGATCCACCATACGATCAGTGACCCCACATCCTCACTCCTGCTCGGCGACCACTCTAGTGCTTCGTCTGACACGTTTGGTGCTTCTACAGCCTCGCCGGCGTCTTCGCCTAGTCAGAGGCAGCACGATAATCGCAGCCAGGAACCGCAAGAACAGGAATCGCCAACCCCACGGAGGCCTGCGCTCTCGCCAGTAGCCAAAGATTCTTTGGACGTAGATGTGACGGTACCTCAGCTCTTACAACAGGGCGTGCCCATGTTGAAGGTTTCGGCGAAGAAGCAGAAGCGTTACACCTTCAGGTTGGATCCGGATCAAGGGCAAATCGTATGGGAGTCGAAGAAGCTCCGCATCAGTGCGTACCCTTGCCTTCCGTCAGCTTAGACAGCATATCTTACTTCTGGATCACAGTTCCTATTGAGAACATCAAAGAACTGCGGGAAGGCGCAGATGCGCGGTATTATCGGGAGCAGTTCCAGCTCGCGCAGCGGTTCGAGGACCGCTGGCTCACCATTGTATACGTGCTCGATGGGGGCTACAAGACGCTGCATCTCATCGCGGCGACGCGGGACGTGTTCCAGATGTGGGACATCACCCTCCGCCGGCTGTATGCCGTCAGGCAGAAGCTCATGAACGGGCTCGGAGAAACGGACGTCCGACAGGCGGTGTGGGAGAAGCACATTTGGCGCAGCGCCGCGGCGGACGGTGCGGCGGACCAGAAGCTCGATTTTGACGAGGTCGAACGCATGTGTAGAAGACTGAATATCAACCCGTCGCGGGAGGATCTGCTTAGGCGGTTTAAGGTATTGCCCAATTTATGGGTGCTATGTGATCGTGATACTGAAAGACAGTTATAGCAAGCAGACGTCAAGAACCGCAGGTACCTCGACTTTGGCGATTTCCAGCGCTTCGTGCAAGCACTCAAGGCGCGCCCTGAGATTGACAACCTGTACAACCGGCTCACGTTTGGGTGTGGCGGCGTACTCACGTTTGAGGCGTTTCAGAGGTTCATGCTGTTGTCTCAAAAGGTTGGTCCTGTAGCAGACGGTTATTGGATTTTCAGCTCATCGATTGGTATATTAGTCAAGTCTCGGTGAGGCGGAGCTGCAGCGCGTCTTTCTCCGATATGCCTGTGATTCTTCTCGTGAAGGAAGCTTCTCCCCGCTGCAGAATTCACTCGAGCTTGCTGTCCACTCTCCTGAAACGGGCGAGGACCGCAGTTCGTCGCCGAAGACAACCCTCCCGACGTGCCCGGGCGACTCGTCGACATTGTCTATGCGTTCACTTACCTCGATAGCCTCTATGTCGATGTCTCTGAAGGCATTCACTTCCTTCCTCCTGTCCACAGATAACTCCGCATTCGCAGATCAACATGGGAGAATTCACCACGATATGAGTCGACCCCTCCCCGATTATTACATCTCGTCTTCTCATAACACATACCTTGTTGGGCACCAGCTCGTGGGTGAGAGCACTATCGAGGGGTACATCCGTGCCTTACTGCACAGCTGCCGCAGTGTAGAGTGTACGTACTGATGGGCTCCACCGTCCGCCGATTTCGATGATCTGACTTATTCGCAGTGGACATCTACGACGGAGAGGACGAACCGGTGATTTACCATGGGCATACGCTGACATCCAAGGTACCCCTTCGAGACACCTGTGTCGCCATTAACAAATATGCCTTTGTCGCGTCGCCGTACCCGATCATCATTTCTGCCGAGATTCACGCATCCATCCCACAACAAGACATGATTGCAATTATCATGCGAGAGGTCTTTGGCGATGCCCTTGTCTGCGCTCCTATCGATGATCAACCGCAAGTAGAGGTTCTACCCAGCCCGGAAGACTTGAAATACCGTATCCTATTGAAGGTGGGCATACTCAGTTCATTTTATCCAGTATTCGGACACTAACCCGCGCATCCGCAGGCGAAGAATCTCTATGTATCTGATAAAGACAATCTCCGAGAGTCAGAAGTCATTGTCGACACGGAGTCATCCTCCACTGAGGCTTCGGCTTCTGACATGGATCTGGGGGAGGATCTCAGACAAGAGTGGCGTAAGGCACGCGAGACGGAGGCTGAAGCGATCAAAGGTGCGCAAGGATTATCCCACTCCCTGCATCTCGTCAGTGCTAACATGACTACTCGCGATGTAGACCTAAAGTCCGAGTTCAAGAGAGCTCGAAATGTTCTGAAACGCGTCCGCAGTCCCCGCGCAGATACTCTCCTGCTCCCGTCTTCTCCTAGACCTGAGACACGAGAGCTGGCACCTGTTCAGCAGTCGCCGCAGAAGGTGAAGATGTCGCCCGCCCTGGTGGCATTGCTTGTCTACACCGTCGGCGTGAAATGTCGTGGCCTGAACAAGAAGGAAGTCTACGCGCCGGAGCACATGTTTTCGCTATCAGAGTCGACCGCGAACCGTATCCTGAAGCAGGCCATGATGGATTTAATCAAGCATGACCGTACACATCTCGTCAGGATATACCCGAAAGGCACGCGTATTGGATCGACGAACTACGAGCCGCATCGCTATTGGTCTGCAGGTGCTCAGTTGGTTGCCATCAATTGGCAGACGACTGGTCAGTCGGACGTTTTCCTCATGTTATATTAACCTGACAGGTGGACGTTTAGACCTGGGGTATATGCTCAATCATGCGATGTTCCAGAGGAATGGACGTGCTGGTTATGTCCTAAAGCCTTTGGCGCTACGCAGTCAGGACAAGCACCTCCTCAGCAAGCGCACGAGACATGTTCTAGAGATCCACATGATCTCTGCCCAGCAACTTCCACGTCCGAAGGACTCCCTTGGGCGGGAGGTCGTCGACAGGTCTATTATCGATCCATATGTCGAAGTGTCCCTGCATATCCCCGACTGGCCACAGGCCTCCGCACCCGTCCCTCCAGAGAGTGCTTTGTTCAACCCACATGCAGGTCTGACCGGGGAAACACAGGTTGCAGCTACGTCCGCGAGGACCGTATCATGTCGCACGAGTATTGTGAAGAACAACGGTTTCAACCCGATGTGGGATGAGCAGCTCAGCTTGCCTTTCGACCTCGTGGGAGACATGCGCGATTTGGTCTTTGTACGCTTTGCGGTGAGGCAGGATGGCGCGTCGGATGAAGAGCCCCTCGCAGTGTACTGCGCGAGCTTGGGCAGCCTCAACCTTGGTATGTTAAGCATACCATTATTCGTAGTCGGTAATACTGACCTTTTATCTTTGCAGGCTATCGTCATCTGCCGCTCCACGATGCACAACTCTCGCAGTATCTGTTCTCCACGCTCTTTGTCAAACTCGATATCCGCGATATCTAATCCCTTCATTGCATTTCCGTCTTATATTTTCTTGCATATCCAACCCTTCATTAATCCTTCGCATCGTCAACACTACCCATCACGCTCATTCACTTCCATGCCTGTATCTCTACCCTCAGCGCTAAGAGTTCGGATAGAAGGTCCGTCCTCTACTACGCGCTACAGTCCTCCTGGATCTTTGTCTTTTAGCATCCTGATTGCATCCTCTCATCGCGATACCTTAGACCTCGCTGTCACTCATCCTCATAATTGCTCACGCTGGCACACATTCGTGCCATGTATCATATAATGGCCATAGCACTCCCCAAGCATATCCGAGAACATAGTGAATAAATGTACAACATTTCCGATAAGCATAGAGCAAATGAATGGGATATACTTGACAAAAAGGTAGGCGTGATACGACTTGATGCGTGTACAGACGTCACATGGGATGCAGATGAGGACGCCGGTTGTGTGGCTTGCAGCAGAGCATCTACTTTGGAGGCGGGGTCGGCGGACCTGCATGCCAATCAGTATGTCAATACGAGGTGAAGGGTATTATGAGGGCCATACCAAAGAGGCCAGACCTGGATGGTATGGGCTCTGCAAGCGGTTGTCCGGGGGTGCCGGGATGAGGTTGCGGTGAGAACAACGGGTCCGCTGCGAACACACCAAAGGACACAAAAGTCGGACGCGTCAGAATGTGTACGAAAACAATATGGGCCGAAACCCACGTCTCCACTGCGCCCATGCGGGCAAGTTGGGCGCGCGCGTGGGCTCCGGCTGGGGGATGGGCTCGGGTGGCGGAAGCGCCTTTGCCTTCGCCTTCTGTCGGCGTTCTTCCCGTTTGTTTACAACACGCCAGGCTGGACGGGCAGGCGCATCGCCGACGACGCTAGCTGGCGGCGGCGGAGGTCCGGGCGAAGGCGGAGGGGCGGGCTCATCGTGCTGTCGGCCGTAGATCGATAGTGCGCAGGTTCAGAAAGATGAGCAGTGAGCACTCTGGTGTGGCTGGGTGAAGGGGTCGAGCGTACCGTTGGCTTCCAATCCGGAGTGTATTCTCCGCCTGCGCCATGCTTAGATTTGAGGGCCATGAGTTCCGCGATTTCGCTATGCGGTGCGATGCGCACGCGATTGAGTTGGCGAGGGTTCGGCGGGGACGAGCAGCTCAAGGAGACAGACGTACTACTGCAGCGCTCTTCGCTCATCTCGCAGCTTGCCAACTTCCTGCAGCAGGATGCGGACCTCGCCCGCGAGTGCCTTGCTGAAGTCGTTGAGGTACCTGGAATCGCGATGGAGAAAGAGAGGCAGCGGATGTTACGCAGTCGCTCGCGCGAGAGAAGATAACGCCTGCGCACTTGGGCGGGGCACCACCACTGCCTTTAGACGACATGTTGTGAGGTGTGAAAAGCGGTGCAAATATTCAAAATGACGCCAAGCACAGTTAATGTTGAGAAGTGTTCGTGCAGGCAGAGTCGAGAAAGAGGTTCAGCCCGGGCAAGCAGGCGCCGCAAATTGAACTTGAAGAGAACAAGTACACGGGGCAGACACGAGGCGCCTTTCGACACGTTAAGCAGTGATATTCTCTTAAGATGCACTCGCTGCACGGAGAGTGGCTCGCGAAGTGTTCAATTGTCCTGGTCAGATACCGAAGCACTTCACTTCATTCGCAGTGCTTAATATATTTCAGTTAATTTGCATGCCACAGACGATACTGTGCCTCCCCGGGTAGTCGGCAGACCCCCCAAGTCGGCAGTCACGTAAAAGTAACATATCCATCACGATCCATCACGCGTGATATTTCAAAGTCCGCTCATCCAACGCTCAAGGGTTCTATGGGCAGCTAGCTCGAAGCATGCGCTTGGGTGGTGCACGTGGTTCTCCTCGCCACCAAGACAGTGCCATGGAACCGTCAAGACATACCAAAAGTTCCAAAAAACATAGAGGAAGATAATGCGATCCATTCAAAACTTAAAGAATGAGAATTGGTGCACTATCGACCGACTTGGGCGCGAACTCTTTGGCTTTGTTTGTCCCCTGCGAGAGCGAGGTCTCACTGTAACGGGCACGTCGAGCGAAGCGCGTAGCGGAAGAGATCCGGACGTCGAACTGTTGAGGGCGAGCGAAGAGACGAGCGAGGATTCACGAACAAAAGGGGCGCCGAGCCTGGCGTTGATTCGACAAGACTACACAGCATATGGTCGACAGGTTTATGGGCGATCCGGTAAGTACATCGAAAGCCGTAACGTGCCTGTACGCATGTAGATAGCGATCTTGGCAGGGGACGAGCGGGAGAGGAATATTACCGTAACAGGAACCAGCGCGGCGCGCGTGCGCGCTCGCGATACAAACGGATCGGTATCTACGAATGGCCGTTGGTAAGTAATAGTCCGTTTCGTACCACAATGACCGTGTGGTGGTATTAACCACTACACTCACAGGCACACCCAATGTCGATATGCTCGCTTCGGCTCGCAACAACATGATTGGGGAATATTATTCTAGTGGACTTGCGGCGAGTGTAATACTCAGAGTCGGCTGCAAGTCAAGCCAAAGTCCAACAGATATCCAAGCGAATGTGTCACATCATTCAACAACCCGACATGCGTACATCAGATCACAGTCTACAAACACTTAGGGATGCAAACGATCCGAACAGACTCACTGTATGCAATATGATTGGGAGAAACGACAAGATCAAATCAATACCTGGGGTCGAGGGGGTCAAGTTTTCTCACTGAAGCGCTGTACATAGTGCTCAGAGATAATGATTATAAATGGGTAAAAGGAGGCCGCTCACTGCAAAATGCCGCGTGCATGTAGTTTGGGCAGCTGCAGGACGAGTGCCTTACGCCAGTGCTCCTCTAACGGCACTCCATGATCTCCGCGGAGGTGAAGCTCGATTTCGAGTTTTTGAAGGTAAGGAAATTTGTCCGTCGAGAGCAATTCATCAATGGAGCTATGCTGCGGTGGATCTGGGAAGCTCTGTATCCTGCGCAGGACGTCAAGGTCGTCTGACCAACCATCAACCCAGACACGAATAGCCTTCATTTTCTTCGATGTGATACCGCTAAGAATTAGCGGAATCCACGCGCTCTTTCCACGAAGCTGCGTGCATAGCCAAATCTCCTCGAGCCCATGGTTGTGTGCGAGGAAAGCGTGGAGGTCAACGGGCTTAGCTGCGATCGTACTAAACACCAGAAGCTCGTAATTCTTCATTGCTATTCCCAGCTGCCGTAGCGAAAGACCACAAGCTTGCAGGAGTTGCGGGATGCCCAGCGTCGATGCCTCTGACACAGATATTGCATCCTGCGGGTCTTGCATCCCAAGCCTTAACATTTCTAGCTGAGGTCCCATCGTGGACACAAAGAAATCGATAATTTCCCTTGTTCCGTCACCATCGACAGACAGGAAGGACAGTTTCGAGGGAGAAACGTGGAATGCTGCCGCATCGAAGCCGGGGTCGGTGAAGGTGACGTCGTAGCATGCAAGCTGTTCGAGGCCTCGCAAAGAGCACACCAAGCGTCCGAAGAGCTGCACCGAGGGGAATGTGACGCCGTCAAGGACGAGCAGTGTGATGGACACGAACGCAGAAAGGTGGAGGAAGACATCTGCATGCATCGCCGACGGCTTCCAGTTGATATCCCACATGTTCAGCTCCTTGAGCTGCGGCAGCTTGCCCGCGAGCATCGTTGCGAAAATCCCGACGAGCCCGCTGGGCATCCGCTCGTCCTTGGAGGCACCGGCCTTCGTGCCTCTGAGTCGGACTTGAGAAACTGCTCCGCTGTGGAACGCACTGAACCGCACGAGTCTGGCGAAGCGTACGACGTGCTCTCGCGCCTTGAGATCGGTGGTCGCGAGGAGATGGTATCGGCTACGTGTGTACCAAAATTTGCACACGAGAGTGCACGCTTTCAACGTGATGGAATCGAACCAGAGATGGTCGAGGACGCGCTCGCACACCTCGATGGGAAGTGTCGGTTGCCTCCTGTCCGCTGGCCTGCTCTCTCCAAGTCGGTCTGGTTCTGTGACACTCTCTTGGTTCATGTTGACCACCGGTCGCTACCACGTGTGAACAATGTTGCGGGTAAAAGGACGAGTGAGATCGTAAGCACACCGTCGTGCAGGCATTAATATTGAGCGCTGAATACGAGTAATGGTGTGACACGGTTGTGTCCACCGTCACGCGCAAATAGCTGTGACACAGCTCACATATTCGTCTACAAACTGAAGAGGTTGGGGCCAACATTGGGAGTAATCATCATCCCCTGCGCACCTGAATCGACAAGAAGTGTCCTGGACTCCTTGGCGGGGGCTCACGTGTATTGAACGGTACTTTACAATGCACCACGGCCTTTGTAGTTACCAGCGGACACTCCTCAAACGTAGTACGAGCTCTGACTCGGACTTAGCCGTAGGTACTCACACCTGTACCTCTTCGTCGAGCCAATGCGAGCATTTGAGCCTTCGCTCCTGTTGTTCGCGAACCCTCAGTCCTCTCCCGTCGTAGCGGCCTTCGCTCCTCGCCTTGCTCGTCACATCACGCAAACAACATGGACCAGTGAAGAAACATAGGCGAGGCAATGGGCTATAGCGCAACTTCACAACTTCAATACGATGTCCGTGAACTTGCTAGCAGTGAGTTGACAACGTGAATAAGTACTTAGACAGGGCGTGGTGGATTGGGAATTGCTTCCTAATGAACTGTAATTGTGTGTAAGCCAGCAAGTCGCCTGGAAGAGAGTCAAATCTACCGGTGTAATCAAGGTTCAATTCATTCACATCTAACATGATGTCTCGTCATTTCTATGTGATGGTTGTAGTGCTGATAAGCTATCTATGTCATTTGACCCGCGAAGTGAATGTCCATGCTGACAGCGACGCTGATCTTGGCTTTGAATGAGAGTGGTATCGGTCACGATACGACCAGCAATCAAAAAGGAGGGTATGAAACTACCAATTCCAGCAGGTACCGTGCTTGATTTCGCCCTCCTCGCGAACCCGTGCATTGAGTCGAAATGCCTCGGACCTCTTCCTCACTGTGGTCAGGTACACGTGTGGAAGGTCAAGGTACGAAACTAGATTCGCCTTGCCATCCGCGACCTGTCCTTTCAATTTCATAAGCAATTGGCCACATGGTGCCGTGAGAATGATGTCCGAAGACTCTACATTGAAGTCATATACATGCAACGAGAATCGACAACAGTTGTCCGCAATATTGCGCAACCACGCTGCACGATGTCTCTTATCAAGGTCCCCTTCTTGGCTGCAAGCGCGGTAGGGGTGTACGTTGCCCATACCCCACCACAACCCAAAGTGCCACCCACCGCACGTCCCAAGAATGTCACATCGTACGAGCGCGTCTTCTCGTCGTTAGCACGATCCTTTGCTGGGAGCCTCAAGGTTTACCTATATTCTGCATGGTACCCCAAGAAAGACTAACACAAGTTTATAGATCCTGATCATTGTGGGGGGGTCACTCGAAATATGTGTTATCTTAGCAAGCAGACTTTCTACTCACCCGCTCTCGCAAATGATCCTGGAAATCTTGGTGCCCAATCCAATCTACAACACTAGCAGCATCAGATTCTCGCCCATATTCCTGGTCGGCTGTAGCATTGCGACGCTCGGCGGTTTCATCCGTTACAAATGCTATCGCGAACTTGGACGCCTCTTCACGTATGAGGTCACGATCCAGCAGAACCATCAGCTCGTTACGACTGGACCGTACGCATACGTGCGCCACCCGAGCTACGCAAGCGTCATTGCATCTTGGGCCGGGATGGCTGTCTGCTTGGCTAGTCCTGGCTCGTGGCTGAAGGAGTGTGGGGTGTTAAAAACGTTGGCCGGAAAGACTGCGGCGTGGCTGTATGTGGGATACGGTGTATGGGGAACCGTAACAGCTGTGGCTCGTACTTCTTTAGAAGACAGGCTGATGAAGGAACAGTTTGGAGGAGAATGGAACAAGTGGGCACAGAATGTTCCATACAGGTTGATACCGTATGTTTTCTGAATTCCGTGGGTATGTATCGAAACTTTGTCAATTGATACACAAGACGACGAGAGCTCGCTTACGTTATAGCACGCAAAGTATTCCTATGATGAGATTTAGCATGGGTCGGTGCCATCAATCCCACAGAGCCAAGTTGACTCTGATGACATCTCCGAGCTCTACGCATAAGACGAGTAGTCCTTTCTAAGTTGTTCGCCAATGCTCCTTCACGGACGGGAATGCATGAAGAACACTGGGAAGGCGAGATTACGTGCGACCGCACGCAAGGTGAGGAAATGCTCAGCCAGTGCTATCGCCAGGGGATAGTCGGGGCCCGTGAATGCGTACTAGACATTATTGATCCAGTTCGCACCTGAAAGCGGACGTAACATCAGCGCGGAGTGTGTCCTATATCACGGTATGTGTTGACGTCAGGGTAAGTCTAGGGTCTCTATGTAGGCCCAGTACATAGAAACGAGAACATTGAAAGTCTGAAGATCCGTCTTCATTCAGTATGACAGGAATGGCCTGGGTATCGAGCATGAATGTTTGAACTTTGAAAATTTGAAGTCGCTATCGCACAGTGATCGATGATTGATCAACCAATAGGACGCGTCGTGACGCCAGCTGTAGGCGCTGGTGGCCCATGGGCGTCTCAATGCTACCGGGAGCGATGACGGCTAAAACATTGATTGTGACTAGTCAGATGCTGGTCATCCTCTAAAGTGCCCCTACAAACAGTACTGGACCTCGAAATGGCATCCATAACCATCTTTGCACATTTAGAGAGGAATTTAGACCCTAAAGTTTGTGTCTGCTTGCTCGTATACCCTCGCTGCGAGATTACCCTCCTTAGATAGGCCTCTGCTCGTCGGTCTTGTGGTGTGGCTCCCACGCGAGTGTTGTTCGGGATTTTGGAAAGCTACTCAGGTGTGAATGAGCGTGCGTTCGCCGCCTTGGGCATACTGATATTGTTCATAGTTCTCACAAGCGCAGGTGTCGCAAGCACCGCCGCAAGCAGCTATAGACCGTACATGCGAGTAACGGAGCTAGGGTAGAGCTTTTCCACGGGTCTTGAGTTATCCTCTCTATTTTGAATGAGGTGTTCTAACAAGTCAGTTTTCGGTCTGTTGAGTATTGTGTGCCGCCCTGGAAATCGTTATCTGTCATGACGCTCTCCTTGAAGTCCCGTCAGCAGAAATCACCACGATGGCATAATCTTACCAGGGTAGTTATTACCCACTGAATGTCTTCTTTGGCTCGGGGCGGGCAGCCTGAAATGCTGAGCTTGGCACGTTGCATGAGCAATTCGGACATCCTCCATCTTCTCCTATCTACCAACAGCTCTGCTGACCACTGAGCCCTATAGCACTACGAACTCCGGATTTCATACCTCATTCAGACAATTATTGCTAGACATGAGCCCAGCACGCTTCCGTCAATGTGCCACAGTATGGGCGTACAGAGTATACTAGTACACAACCGAATCGTATCAGTACAGGTATGGGACCAACCTGTATGGTACTTTCCGCGCCCACGCATCCCACTGACCTCCGAACCTCTCTCTCAGTAGTCGATCTTCCTCTCGGGGTCGATAAAAAAGGACCATCATCCATACCATCGCTACAGCTGCGTATGCAGCAACAGCGGCCTTTCCCCATATCGAATCGACGATCTGGCACTCCCTGAGCCAGGACCCGGCGCTGCCATGACACAAACCCGCGCCGATGAGGACGACAAAGCCGCTGGAGTACGAGGGGTGACGGACATAGGCATATGGCCCGTGGGTGATGAGCTGCTGGTTCTTCGTGATGTTGACCTCGTATGTGAAGTAGCGGTCGAGTGTGCGGTAGCAGCGGTAACGGATATAGCTGCACAACGCTACCGTGCTGCAGCCGATCACGAACAGCGTAGAGAAGCCTATCCCGCTCGCAATCGAGGCTGAACCAGGTACGAGGAGTCCAAGAACAGCCTGTGAGACAGAATATGTAGGATAATGACTCGCGAGTATCGCAACGGCTTCTATGACACTTGCTATCTATACACTCAACTGAAGTTCCGTTGCTCACTTCTTAGGTGCTTGATTGCCCTCACTACGATGAGGGTTGAACAAAATCGACGCCAAGTCAAATACCCTCTTTTGGTAGGCCACGCATCAAAATGCCTCGTCCGCGGTTCAAACACAAATTGGGTGAACTAAGTTCAAGTATGCCGGCTGGTTGTGTAACCAACTTAACATGGAGCAGCGAAAAGTTCACAAAAACTTTGCTGCCCCAGTGAGGCTCGAACTCACGACCTTCCGATGCCATTGCGTGGTCCACATGTAATGAACGACATCGCTTAACAGTCGGACGCTGTAACCAACTCAGCCATGGGGCACGTTCCTGACAGCGCGCAAGGTCAATATATATAATGACGATGTATTTCAACCATCACCATCCATCATCGAGGCCCTCCTGGTCCTGGACGTCGAGCATGTCCGCACGCCTCTCACCGCAAGCGCGTCGCCTGCGCACCATCATCGTCTCGGTGCCCATTATCGGTGCAACATCCTGTACGTACATCCTCACCACATATCCCGCACGCGTACTGTAAGAAATTCCTGATTTGACTTGCATACAGTCGTGCTGTATAAACGCCTAGTCCTCGGCGAGCCTCGTCGCGAGCTCCCTCGTCCCACACCGTCACAGCCGGACGTGGACATGCACCAGCGGCTCGTGCCCATCAAGCCCCAGCCTCGCGAAGACGAGCCCGTCAGACGGGAGGAACTGTAAAACATGATACAATACACAATCCCGGGGGCAGCTGCCCCACGAAGACTCTCAAGTTCACCAGGCTATAAGAGATCACCGCAAAGTGCAGACCATAGAGGCCCTGAGACCGACAGGGGGTGTACGTTGCATATTCCATGGCACTCTCAGGCTTCGTAGAAGTAGTCAATTCGGAGTACCACCGGGTAGGAGCACGAAAATGCAAGTCTATTCTCCCCTCACGCGCGGCCGCCTCAAAGGCGCACATCTGCTCGGCATGAGATTCTTCCCCGCACATATCTTCCTTCGACAACTCCGCCTCACTTGTCCTGTGTCGCGAGCGCCGCAAGCTCCTGCGCCGTAATTACGCGCGTCCCCGGTATCCGTGCGGGGTTGAATGAGCGGTCGCAGTCGGCGTATGCTGCGCCCATGCCAAAGCCGGTGCCCAGCGCGATGGGCCATGCGCGTCCTGTCGTGACCGTATCATGTAGCGTGAGCGAACTCCGGTGACGGAGGATGTTGTGACGTACGGCGGAAGAGAATGACCGAGGCGATGACGCCTGCGCTGAAGCCGACTCCTCTGTTCGTAGTAAGGCGGCGGGGAAGAATGTAGCAGCGAGTGCACAAGGATACAAGAATGGAGATGGTCAGCATACGAGAATGAGAGCACGGGTTACAACACGCACGACTTCACCAAGAGATCCGCCACTATACAGTCCAATCCCGTCCATGCACAGTACCAATTAGAGTCAGCGTTGTTCCATCCGACAAAAAGGCCATTTGAACATACAGCAACGATCATACTAGCCGTCATGCTTCGACGTCAACCCAACACCCGTATGCACGCGAGCCTATGCACCCACGCACCTTCTGCGCGACGATATTCTCGCTCGACGTCGGTTTCGCTGATGACTCGGTCGACATGCTCGTGAAAGTGCTTTCGTGCGATTTGTACAGGAGTTTGGGGTCGCACTTCCGGCCGAGGAAGGGAGAAGACTATTCAAAGTGTAGGATGTAAGGAATGCGCGAGGCGACCGTGACGCGCCTGCCCGGATGAATCCGACACGATCGAGCCAATCGCAGCTCGCTTTGCATACACACCACCAGGCTATCAACTTTGTCGTGACCGTCCCGCCTTTATATAAAAGGGTTTTGGTCTGCATACAGGTCGATTTGCGCAACATATCATCCAGTTTGTTTTTCTCCAATCAGGAGAACAGCAGGCCTTTCGCGACAATCGGAATTCCGTCCATTAATTGTGGCCTAATGCAACACTTTCGCTTTCCTGTTCTATATATTCATTCACGGTGAGCGTGTCTCTCTTTTATTCTGCAATGTGGGTAGCGTTTCACAGCGGTCACTCCACACGACAAATGTATCAGTAACCTTGTTTCACGGCCTAGGAATGATTGGCATGCTTGTGAGCCATCGGTAGATGTTCACACTTTGGGAAAGCTCTGAGTCATGCGAAACTGCTCTTGCAGTATTGTACCAAGACGTGACCCACGTAGTATCTGTGAGAGGAGGTCTATCGTTACTGGTTCTGCTGTGATATACGTGGATATTGAAAATGAGAGAGCAAGAGGTCAAGATAACCTACCGGGCTAACTCACTCTCATCATTCATCCGTCAGCTCAATGTCATCTTGTGTTTCTTACAAATAGGACTGGGCTATCTCAACTCGATTTGCTGAGCCAATTTTAGAGCAATACAATACGATGTGATGCTGCCCACTCCGATATCGCATCTGCCAGCACATGGATGCATGCATGTGGTACGTCTGTAATGTATACCACGTATAGTTACGTCCCTTGAAAAATTCACACAGCTAGAATGGGCTTTTTATCTTCCCTGGCACTGCGTATGTTCACGTCACATGATCTGAAGGGATTCCTTGTGCAATGATAACCATCTCATAAATCCCACGAATCATCGCGGGACGGGAATTACATATTATCATAGATATCGAATCTTCACGATTCTCTCGACGGCGCCCGTATTGTTTGGTTTCCATACAGGAATGCATATTGCTTGACACCAGAATATTGAAGCGACAGCAGCAAGCCGGGCTCACTCGGATCTGCGAACGATATCCGACACCGTGCTTCTATTTAGGGCCCTTGAGGGTAAGCAAAATCTAACATTTGACATTCACCGCATCACATCGTTTTAATTTTCTAGTAATCATACCGTACAATTTGCCAAGTACAAGGCCATCTCGCGGAACTTTTGCACCTTCGCGGCTATGGTACATTAATCGTGCTTTTGGACGAAGGAATGACCGGCTTTGAGTACACCGCAGGTACCCCCATTTTTGCAGGAACTGAGACACGGGCTTAGTTAAGAAATTAAACGGTGATATAAGGTACTTTCTCCACATCATGTCATCGGACTCTATGAGTGCCGACGACGTTGACGAGGAAGCTGGATGAGTGTCATGCGAGACGAAGACCCCGCAAGCCAGGTTGACCCCACCTTCATTGCAGAATTTCTTCTGTGCGGGAAAGTCTATTGTCACTTTCACTGTCATGGTTATTCTTCTTCCCCTTGGTCATAGGCTGAACATGTATATAAACTGTCACGCGAGGCTATCGGCAGAGTTCCTCAAGCCAATCTCTCGATGGTCTGCCCGGTTCCCGCTCAATCATTCTTGGACATCGTTGCAGCCTGCGACAACTACCGCCTATATGCAGACCGCACGTCCCTCGCCACCTGGCGTCTTACCTCCCATCCCACATCCCCCGCCATCGGCCTCCTTCGCCCAGAGATCGTAGCCCAGCTCTGCGCGGAAGATGCCAGAGGCTCGGTCCCAGCATGGGAGTTTGCCACGCACGACGGCAAGCAGGTTGTCGGTTTCTCGTCTCACATCCACGGGCCGTCTGCACGCACGCGCGTCATGAAAGAGCTGTGTGAGCGCTGGGACGAAGGGTGCTGGCCCGACGTGATCGGCCCACGGAAATGGCGCAACGAGATGTACGCGGTATACCGCAATCAGTTCGGCGTGCACGACGCGCTGCCGACCGACGACACGGACAATGACGGGAAGAATCATGCTTTCATGATGGAGCGCTCCGCGTGTGCGCTCTTCGGCGTGGTCACGTACGGTGTACACATGTCGATCTTCGAGGAGGATGAAGACTCGCGCGCCACGCTGGACTCTTGCCGCATGTGGGTGCCGACGCGTTCCAGAAGTAAGCAGACGTGGCCCGGCTACCTCGACAACACCGTCGCTGGAGGTATTCCGTGCGGGCTCGGCGTGTTCGAGAGCATCGTCAAGGAGTCAATGGAGGAGGCCAGTCTGGCAGAAGAGGTAATTCGGAAGGGCGCGCGCGCGGCGGGCAGCGTATGCTCTTTCTTCCAGTGAGTCCGCGCATGCAATTTTCAAATCCCTCTGACCACTGCAGCCACCCCACACAACAGAACAAGGACCGGATGGCTCCAACCTGAAGTTCAGTACGCCGCGCTATTGTACTCACCAGGCTCAAGAAAGTGATGCACGTCTATCACAATTATGTTTATGACCTCCGCATCCCTATCGGGGAGGGCCAAGAGACATGTAAGCCCAAGCCGCTCGACGGCGAGGTTGACTCACTTGAAGTGAATGATATGCTACCGCCATTAATGCTCATACCTAACAATTGCGGCAGCTCCTTCCCCTAATCGAGGTCGTGTTGCGCATGCAGCGGGGTCTTTTCAAGCCTGATGCGGCATTGGGTAAGCGCCTCTTGTAGTAATCCGTGAGACAAGACAACGCATGCTCACGCCATGCCGAGCGGTTGTTCTCGATTTCATGATCCGCCGCGGGTATCTTACGCCGGAGGACGAACCGGGCTACCAGGAGATCGTGACGCGCCTGCATGGTGGATTCGAATATGACAAGTGGTGAACGCAAGTCTGCAAATGGTTTCGCCAACCATAAGATTGTACAAATGAGCGTATTTTGATAGACGAGTAGGGCACTGCTTACGCTGAATAGCAAGATGTGTAACAGATGATCGGACGGGCTGCATGGAGGTGAGTTCCGTGGTTTTTAATATGAATATGACCGACCCGAATTCCTGTTTTTTCTCTCTCCTTGACTAATTCCATACCCATATCACAGATTTCCCTGTTATTTCCATTCTCTCCATGTCATTCTTTGATCTGTATACAGGAGGAGAGCCATAGGTATACCGCTATAATTACAATACGATGGCCAACTTGCACAACATTTCCTCGACGATAAGCAGGGCCTTTCGTGACAATCACAATTCCATCCTGTAATTGTTACCTGACAAAACGCTTCCGCTCTCCTGTTTCACAGGTTCATTTACGGCAAGCATATCTTCGCTTGCATACTGCAATGGGGGAAGTGTTATGCTCCACGGCATGTCAGTTGTCTTGTATCGGCCACTCTAAATAACGAATGCGTCAGTAACCTCAAACAACGGCCTAGGGTGCTCACAGTTTGGTGGAACGCGATATTCCCACCAAGAATGTATGGCATATTGGTGAGCCATCGGTGGACGTTCACACTTCGGGAAAGCTCCGGGTCGCGTAGGACCGCTTCTCCTGCAAGAATGAACTCTTTTTCCTTTTCACCGACCTTCTTCCTGACTGTTTCAGCAGCTTGTTTGTATTTGACACCCTCACTATCCATCAACAGCCGAATGATATTGGTATCGTCAGAGTTTGAAAGCCGCTCTTTCGGATAGGAATAGTAGTCATTGACCAGGCCTACGTGGTCTGTGACAATGAGTAAGATGCATGTGACACGGGTAATCAAACACCCGCTTACCAGACACTATCCCTTCTACTTCGCGCATGAGGGGATGGAAGAGTTGTTCATCGGACAGACGGATATCGAGAGCATATCTGCACCATGCTGTTTTGCATTGGTCATGGTGCAGTCATGTCCCGGGAAAACCTCACCATTTGCAAAGAACTGGCGCGTGCTATGAGCGTCCGTATCACAACCATAGCGGCGCAAATGTACGACATACCATCCCGACGTTGACCCGGCGAACAGACAGATATTGCTCAAGGCTTTGAAATTCTTCGTGGATGTGCGAACTATGGAAATCATGAGGTTGAAGAGCAGGGATTCAATGAAACCAGCCAACTCACTCCCACCATTCGTCTGTCAGCTTGATGCATTGTGCGAATTCCTTTGGGCCCGCCGTCAATTTGAGCGCCTCAGAGAGGCGGTTGTGAGCGATTTCAACTGGGTCATGCTGGTTGACAAGATTCTGTTATATTGCACCTATGAGTATTCAATTGTTGAGCGATCTAATATGATGCCACTTGCTCTATCGCCTCTGCCAGCGCGCTTCAGAGCATTGATGCGACTATATTCCTTTCCAGCGTCCATGAGGTCGTCAGACAGGAAGGCTAACCCAGCCCATCGAGCCGCCCATACTACTTTATGGAGGTCCGCGTGTGGTACACCTGTAGTGCATATGCATGGCGGTAAGGATGAACGTGTGCTGCAACACAATGACGTACACCAAGTGATCCAGCTCGCGGGCTCCGAACGCAAGAATGTGACGCGAGCTCGATCAGACGTCCAAGGCCAGATCTGAGCCAAGTTTAAATTAACAGACGTTCGGATAAGAACTTGATTACAGCCTGCCTTGACAAGATACTCGTCATGTAGGTGATTGATGTCTATGAAGCGAGCGGGAGACTGAGTAATAAGATATCAATGCGCGGATATAATACACACCCTTGAAGCGCGGATGCTTCCGACCAGGTAGGTACCCAGGCGATGCAGGCAAAGGTGAGCCTGGGCTGATCTTCGACCTCGGCAGTCGTATATCAAGACCTTCCAGTATGCCAGACATGGGGAGATAGGATAGCAAGGTTCATCGCAGGTTTTCTTCATTATATATACCACCATGAATGCCTTGACACAATCACAATACCACCGTGGCCAGCCGACATGTGGTGTCCTGCCCTTGCGGCCTGGAAGATAAGACGTGAGAATGTGTTCTCTGGTAGTGAAAGGGTGGGGGTGCCATACCGGGTAGTCGGCAGGCGTTAACTACCCCTAATTGGAAAGCAGGATTTCTCAGAATCCCTCGGGATGTTCGCAATCCGATCAGCAATTTTGGCTTCTGGGCCATCCAGGCAAGGGTGCCGACTTGGGGGGTCTGCCGACTACCCGGTATGGCACAGTATAACGAAGACGGCGGGTGGCCGATCAGAGATAGGCTACCGAATGAAAATTGTCAGGTAGACCTTTGCTGTAAATCCTCGTCCTCTCGCCGTCATAGTTAGTGGATGGACACATATATTCATCCTGCTCAGAGGAAACTCGACGTATATACGTCTGGTTTCACGACGAATGGTCAGGTTAAGGAAGCTACTGGTATCGTGTCATGGGCTGAAGAATCCGTCGCCGGAGTCAAGACGTAATCCGGATCATGAGTTTAGTGTACAATGTTTTAGTCAGTGGGCGGACGGAAGCAACTTGCCTGAATGATTCTCGCGAAGAGCGTTCAGTGCTCTAGTCCGTGAGCACACGGAAGCACCTTGATTGGATGAGTCTTCTTATAGCCGGCTTTATTTCTGGTAAACAGTGCTTCATTTATAGACCAGAGTTTAACCACTTACAAGGTCGGCAAATGTGTACAGAGCTTGACTACAGGCGTACTGCTGCTGACATACGAGGGAGAAATCTATGAATCTCCGCGATCCCGGCGCGTCCGCATCTCTCAGCGCAGTCTCGCCACTGTTGTTCAGGCCTTTTGGTTGATTGATACGTGGCGATCGACCATATCTTCAACGAACGAAATATTAGCGGAAGATTAGCACAGACTTGGAGTGTCTGACAGTGACACATTATAAATATCTTCGATCTTGTGCTAATATAGGTTAGCAGTGAATGGACCGTCTATCTGTCCTGACTCAAACCCACAAATTTGTCTAGAGTAGGTGCGTCACAAGTTGGCGTCAGTCACAACTAGGACGCGCGATCAGCGCTTGACGAGTGGCTGAGACGATCGAGATCATCAGGACCACGTTTGATGGGGCAATGCTCGGACAAGAACAAGTCTCGCTTGCATTGACCGCCTTGCAACAAATCGTCTCAGTGAAACCGCCAGAACTTGGCAAACAGGGTTTCCTCGATATACAGCCTCAGTCGCTGTGTTGGGTATTTCTGCACAAAGCCCAGACTGGATCAGATGTCTCAGCATCACCGCGCCATTGACAGGTCTTCTCGAGTTGATGTTCCCAGGACGATACTCTTCTTCCACAGCCTTTGGGTGTATATGCATATGGCTCTGGAGGGGATGTGCAGTTGCCCAAGCAACCGCAGCTCTCGTCTTCCTACAGTCCCGGATGCTTCCACTCCATGAGCCGTCAAATTTGGGATCCCTTCAGGCTTTCGCCACCATGTTCTCCGGAAAGCTGGAGGGTCTGCACACCATGCGCATAATATCTGCACGTTGGCAATCCCACCTTATGCAGCCGGACATTTTCCTGTGCCTATCATCCTTCTCCGCGGTTACTGTCGCGACTTGAGGTCAAGCGGCAGGGGAAGATCTGAAAGCTGGGGGCGTCCGACTAAATCTCACCGAAGCGATGGTGAGCAGTGCTCAAACCTAAGGCTAGGGACAAGAAAATGTATTAGTTAGTGTAAGGTAAATGAGAGAATACAGGAGCTTACTGACCTAGGGACAAGAGGTCGAAACTGAGGTCCCTAGGGCAGCAGAGGCCGGCTTATATACATGGGGAGATTAGGGCAGGCTGTGCACGTTGGTCCGTGCGCAGCTGGTCTGTGCGCAGCATGCCGACGCGGCCACGGGGGCCGGTGAGTCAGAGCGGCTGTGTCAGCGGAGCCCGAGCTGTGCCGCGCACTGCCGTCCTATCTAATCTAATCGTACAGTAGATATGATGCGTCCGTATCAGGCAAGTAGTACAGAGGTCGCGGGTTCGAGCCCGCGAAAAGGAAAAATTAAAAACGGCTAGACGCCGGTACCAACTCGTGAC